CATAGGTTGAGTCTGTACATTCTCATACCGTGAATTGTATGTTATGTTGAGCCGATTTATCTTACTTAGTTCTGCCAATAATGAACCATGAATGCTTCCTTTTCGGGCTTGATCTTGATACACTGTACTAATCTCCATCTCCAAGCAGATCTTTTGGTGGCTGAAAGATAGTATAACATTGGCAAGACATTATCATTTGCAGCCCGTTTGGCTACTGTGAAAATGATACCAGTACTAGAAAAAGAGAAACATTGTAAAGACGCCTAAAACACGCCAAAAAGGCCTAAGCCTAAACCTCTGCTTGGAGACTAACTCTGTACATGCAGATAGCTAGCTACACATATCAACTAGCAAGCTTAGACATATTCTATCTAAGTAGCTGATTGATGACCACTGGAGACTTGACCAACTGTCGAGATGTCAGATGCCTTCATTCAGTAACTAAAACTAACCAGCTAACCTGCAAAAGTCGCCAACATTACAGAAAAAGCAGAGCGGATCAGTACAGATAGAGGGTGGATTTTTTCTTTTGTTGTTGTTGAGTATGAGACATTCGTTCAACGCATTTCTATCAATGTGATTCTCAGATTCCCCCATTAACTTGGTTCAACATATGTATGAATTTCCATAATGGCCATTCTGATGAAGCATGTCATTTGTTGCCAAGTGCGTTGCGTCATTGGAATTAAAATAGAAACAAGACAATACTGTCCATCAGCTAATGCCATAGCAACGGTGAATGGAAGATGGAAATTACTGAGGAACCTCAACGTTTTGGTCCACAGCATCTGCATTGGGACCCCAAATCATACAGCTCGTACTAGAATAACACCAGCGCCTTCAACGCACACTAATATTCAGATGACCTTTCATGGACTCTAAGGCTTCCAATTTCTTACTTTCCAATTTATTACTTTCGAAACCAAACTTTCTGTTATTGTCTAGGTTATATTTCTTACGAGCTCTGCTATCGCTGACCTAGATAATTGACGGAAAGCCAAGTTTCGCGGCATAATTTTAATACTGAAAGAAAAGTCGCTAAAACTTGGATCAAATCCGGAGTTTATTTTCAAGAGTCAGCCTGTCTTTATTCTAAACTGTGACCTGTGTCTGAGTCTCAGTCCATTTCCGCCCGAATTGATCATCACTGCCGTGGGTTCTGTCAAGCGACGGGAATTCTGTCGAGGCCGGGAATTAGTCATGGTTACCCTCCGGCAGGGGACAGCCGATAATACCAGAACAGGGTACCGGTTTAGCCTCCACCAGGCCTTTCTACGGGAATACGGATCGTAGAATTCGCAAAAAAGAGAGTAAAATTGGCCAAGGGAGTCCGGCCGCGGTAATTTCTTTCCCTCCGAAACTGCTCGGCCAGTCAAACCTACAAGGCGGCCAAACTCCCCTGGCAAAAATATTCTCCTATATATAGTCAGCGTAGATAGTCGATAGAGACCGTAAGGTACTACCGGTGATGTAGAGGGGATACTTCTTCTAGTGAAAACAACGGTTTAGGACTGAGGAACTTAAGCCTATCTTTTATTCACTTTTTTATATGGGACGACCAAGACGGTACCGGTGTTTGGGACGACAAAACACATCCCCACCCGCATTGGGCCATCTGCCATATTACATACAAGCTGTAAAAGACAAAGACATCAGATTTGATTTGATTTAATTTGATCTTAATTAGGCTGTATAAAATGACATACAGCCAGGGCTGCCCAACTTGCCGGATCTTCAGAGATAAGATACTGATAAGGTACTCAGAGCTGAGCACAACTGCAAAGTGGTACAGTCGTGTTCTTAGGCCCACTTTAGTAGACTAGAATTCTAGAAACGGTAAACAATTCCAAAACCCATCGAAACCCTTTGCCACCGGTAACGGGTAAGGGTTGTGTGTGATCGGACCAAGGAACTGAGAAAAATATGCATAGAGGCGTGATTAATGGTTCTTCACCACCCCGGTTCATTAGTGATCCGCCCCTCCCTGAGCTCGGTAATAGGCGCGGTATTAGCCGGCGCGCGCCGCATGATCTCTCCCTCAGGGTCGAGCCACAACATTTCTCCATCCTGTAACTTTTGGCTCGGGTATCAACCCGGTACCCCGCGGCCGATATGCGACCAAACCATACCAGTTCTTGCAGTGCTCTGCTGCGAACAGGGCACTCAAACAGTCACACAGACCGCTTGGCATGGAACTGAAACAAGAGACGAGAAAAAAGACCATTCATTCACTCAAGGAGGTTTAAAAACCTCATTGATTCACTGAACGTCTAGCTAAATGCCGAAGGTCTCATATTCTTTTATCTCATCTCATCTATAGTATTCGACCTTTGGGGCATTACAGAATATCTGACATGTTTGATACTAAGTAACTGGTTTTCTACACCCTTCTCGGTTTTCTGTTCCTCGTGTTATCCTCCCTTTCCCGAACGTTGCCTACCCCCCTTTCGTCCTCCCTGTACTACATGCTTCTTGCATATTCTTTTAGCCTGGAGTTCATCGCAATCTTGTATTTCGCTTCCAATGGTCGCTACCCCGTAACTAACAAGACGAGGCTATTCCCTCTCTACGTATACGTTTCCACGCTCAGTAGGTTTAGAGGCAGGAAAGTTTCCAGAATGAGTTTCGAGTCAGTCAATTAAGTGTGAACTACATTTGACCCTCCTTCATCCTTAACAACATGTTAGTTTAATTAAACTAAGTAATGCCATAGGTGACTAGTTTTGTTTTGACTTCCACTGCTCATGGTATGTTGCTTGGAAGTGATTTCTTGCCTGATTAAAGTTACTCAAGAAATGTCAGTCCGCAACTACTATACAGAGTCCATGTGTTACTGGCATTATTTATCGTGAAGGGATCAGTAATGTACTAGTATTATGTTGTAAATGTGGATTCTGCAATTAAGTCCCCTAGATATCCTAACCGGTACCTGTTAAAGATGAACTTTCAAGATATGCTAACATGATCTAACATGTTTTTCGTCATCACCTCACGTGCATCTGGTCATGAAACTTTTCTCATGCTACGTCCAAGAAGGTTAGACATCCATGTAATGAGACGTACAGGATAATAGTTACGCAAGCAACTAGATACATTTTAAAAACTGTCATGCGTTTGAAGTAGCATTCACTACTTTTCGCCAGTGCACAGCTTTCTTGTGTTTTTATGTTTACCGAAGGAAAACATATTGTTTTGCTCAGTTTCTTCTTCTAGTAGTGACCTCTGACCTGGTCAATGACCTGAACTAGACCGTCTCTCACCATGGTAACTGGCGTTGGGTTACATAATGTTGCAATTCTATAGTAGGAGGGAGTCAGACTCCTGTCACCATATACTGGTTTGTGAATGTGTATGAGTTAAGAGCAGACCATATGCGGAAGGTATTATGCATTTGCTTTGCAAATGTTACTTTTCTAGTCTCTTGATGCTTTGTCAGAATGCCGGACTGTGTTGGAGTTATACGTCTTCAAGAGTCTCAAGTTAAGAATCTTGCTGAAGGTAGTCTATATAAGGATTGTCAATGTTGTCTGGATGGCTGAGACTGATGTACAGCTGTCCTATATCAGCGTGGGAACGCCTTGCAGCTGAACACCTGTCCCGCCACCAACCGAGCCACCAACTCTCGCGAGATCAACTTCGCATCCCGTCGACTTCTGTGAAGTTCGCTGGCGAGTCAGCGGATTGTGCGAAAGGTCAATGACTAATCGTCTGTGTGAAGTTTTAGTAGCTGTGAGTGATTGCGGACTCATCATTTCTGACGGGAAGGTAAAACTGAGTGAACGAGCGAGCCAGAACTCCCGCGGTGTCTCGCGAACTCTCGTCATACTTCCTCGCTTCTGGGGCACTCCATCATATCGGTAGAGGTCGCCCTCCCATCGATGAAGGTCATTGTCGTTGAGTTCAAAAGTGAGAAAAAGCTGTAGGCAGGTTTCCTAGAATGCGGGGAATGTGAACTTATTTCCGATGACTGAGTCAAAATCCAAGCGAAGGTAATCATAAAGTCACGCCAGCATCCCTGACTCCTACTGTTAAAGTGTTATACATGTGGCTAACCGTCAGCATTGATTTACTGTTGGGAAAGGTCAAAGCAGTATTATTATAATCTAAAGCACACACTTAATACAACATACGCATTGTGATTATGCTGCTTAAGTTATGATTTATTAGAGGATCAAATGACGATGACAGATCTTCATTACGTTTCTCAGCGACAATATACATGTACATGCCCCTCCCATTAAGTTCCAAAATACTTAAAAAGCCTTTAGATGCTGGGTAGTTTTCCCGAGGACGTTATGTTGACAATAACGTCCACATGATCTCCGGTAGAAAGACGTCGGCAGGAAGTTAGCAATGTTGGTTCTGCAGATAAATGCATGCCACTTCAGAAGTACCGATCTTCCTTATAACAGTAATGACACTAACCATCTAATGTACCTCATTACGTGAACTGTCAGGTACTGCGGAAAAACTCACGTTCATGTGTATTATGTGTATTAAGACTCTTGTATATGAACCATTTCATACATTGAACAGAAAATAATTCTGGAGTTGGAGCTGTTCAATGGAATTGGCAATGCATTGTCTTAGGACGTAGTGCACACACAAACGCGCGCGCGCCCGTCCTGATATCATTAAATTTCTTACAGGTGGCAACAGCCAACAGAGACCTCTAGCGGATCTACTTCAAGTTTCACCACTAGTTTTGATCCACCCAAGCATGGTACCAACCATGTTTTGTCATAACCCAAATGAAGGCTCCTTTTATCCTCTTTGATCCACCATTGACTATTGACAGATGTCAGCAAGAGACTGGACACCTCTAGAGCATTGTACTTGTTGCATGTGCCTATAAATACCTAAGTAATGTAAAAGGCTAAAAAATTACTAATTAGTATTTTAAAACTAACTTATTGTAAGAGTAATTCACTGTGCTTCAAATTATTGAAAAAAAACTTTTACAAATTGTTGAAAAAAAAAACACACATTTCAATGTTCTGAATGATTTATTAACAGACAGCGATGACATAACACATGAAACCTTTAATATTCCTCTTCATATTTGTATGCTACTTTTGCATTGTGATATCATTTTGCTCATTACAAACTTCACCAAGTGCCCAAATATAAAGATACAAGCTTTAGCAATCTCACAATATACATTTAACATAATTATAGACCACCTTATACATCCACACCAGTTATTTTGCTATCATAGATAAATAAACTGTTTTACAGTTGTGTCTCAGAGTGTTATAACCTTTACCCAAATATCAAAAGGGAGTGCACCACATTATTATCATGTGTATAACCTGGGTGCCTTTACAATCTCTTATATTTACATACGTTCTACTTCTTCTTAGACACATGTTGCACAGTATATACAGTCAAAACCTCCAAGGCATAGTGATAGTTGAATTTACGTGTACATCCAACTTCAAAGTTGTTTCAGTAGGTCACTAACGAAAAGACCTGGATGCTATATGAAATGTCTGACAGTTTTTAACATCTGTTCAATTACTTGACTAACAGTTTTCTTGTGTTCTCATTATCTGGATGTCTAACCTTCATCGATGATCAGTAGATCATTTTAGACATGACAAGGCAGCAACTGTACATACTTTGGCCTTTCAAAATTTGTGTCAAACACAGAAAAATGGAGAACCAATAATTGACAATACGACATCTGTCAAATTTCACACAACTGCACAATGTTTGCATTGAATAATCTCAAAGAAAACAGCTCTTTGACAGTTACTAATAAATACTTGAAACTATTGCATTAGTATTAAATATTGATTTATTTGACACAACTGGAAATAATAGAGCTTCAGATGTTTTGACTGCTGTCCACTGATCTTTTTTTTCATTATTGTCAGTTTTTTTTTAATTTCACTGATGAAGACTGCTGTAATGCAGCTGAAACTCTTTCCAGTTGTATTGACAAGATTTTTAACCATCATAAGCTGGATGAGTAACCTTTGTAAATGTATTTAATTACTAGTACATTGTATCTTCTACATGTATATGCATAACTCTGGGAATTACCAAATATAATTCTTACAAGCTTGCCAGTTTAACATAACATCTAACATAGATCTGTCTACTGTAGATGGCTAAAATGGTACAAGAAAATCATGAAGGAATTTGAAGTACTGCAAGCTGAACTTATATTCTTAACAATATCATCCACACTCCCTTTGAAAACGGTAGAAGCAGATACAGTAGCAGCAGAAGACTTGTCCTTATATTAACCACTATTATAATAGTCAACAGTTGACGAGTGCTTGCAATCGTGCGATTTTGCCACGCCTAGAGTTCAGGGATCTGAGCAGTCAGTGTAGGTTGTGACCATGTTCCCAACTCTCTGTGTTACAGTCCTGCAAGTTTTTCCACCTACAAATAAAATAGAAAATAAAAAAAATCAGTTGATAAACACATGTATACAGAAATTTTACAAGACCGAGCTACAGCATTTTGCAATTCATTTTTGAGAACTTGTAATCAACATACATTCATGTGACTCTAGTGTGATTTTTCATTTCAGAACAAAGTGATGTTATGCCAATCCATTTTACATAATAAATAATTCATCTTTGACATACATGTATAGACTAATTGAGAATGAAAAAAAAGGCATCCTTACCTTGCCTACTATTTCTGGACTGCATATTCCTGGCCTGTCCATGGTTATGTGCAAAGTGATGAGCATGAGCGTGTGCACCTGCATGTGCGTGTGAGTGGGGCCTCTGGTGGTCTCCAAAGAAGGCGTCAAAGTCATCGAAATGATTAAAGTGGTTGTGAATGCTGTCAAAGTTCCCAAAGCTTCCAAAAAAGTCATCATCATCATCATCATCGTCTCCAAAGATGTCATTGAAGTCAAAGAAGTGACCTCCGCCGTTTCCGAAGGAGAAACGGAAGCCGTTGTCGCCGCCAAATCCCCCGTTAAACCCGGCGCCGGCGTGCTCGTGTTGCTTGTGGGTCTGGAATGCATCGAAATGGCTGAAGAAGTCGTTAAAGTCGAATTTGAAGTCCCCGAATCCTCCAGGACCGCCTGGCCCGCCGCCGGGCTTGTTGAAGCCAAACTGGTCATATTCTCTCCGCTTCTGTGCATCTTGCAGAACTTCATAGGCTAGAAATAGAAAAACAAAGACAACAACCTGTGAATACAGAACAATTGAAAAATACACTGTACTTATAAATCCGTCTTTTTTAATATATATATGTTTACCAAAGGAAAAAATATTGTTTTTGCTCAGTTTCTTCTTCTTCTCCAAACAGTGACCTCTGACCTGGTCAATGACCTGAACTAGACCATCTCTCACCATGGTAACTGGTGTTGGGTTACATAATGTTGCAATTTTATAGTATGAGGGATTCAGACTCCTGTCACCATATACTGGTTAACGTTATAAGTTTTGTATTCCTGGATGAGTAACCTTCATAAACATAACTGAAAGATAATGATATATATGTGGTCAACAAGGTATGAATTCAAATAGGGTACCAAGCACAAGATGCATTTCAGTTGTACATGAACACAATAAAAACACACCTTCTGCGATTTCCCTGAACTTAGACTCAGCGTCTGGGTCCTTGTTCTTGTCTGGATGGTACTGGACAGCAAGCTTGCGGAAAGCTCTCTTGATCTGTTTCTCTGTCGCTGTCTTTGGCACACCTAGAACTTCGTAGTAGTCTCTCTTAGCCAGGATGGAGTCCATAAGGAGTACCAGAAACACACATCCAACAAACAGGACTTCTTGGCTGCGCATCGTGCTGACGGTGGGATGTTAGAACTGGTAGAGGGAAAACTAAACAAGTGAATCAACAGACCCTGAATAACATGTTTAATTTACATTTTACGGTGCTATGTATTTTATCACAAAGTTAGATACTGGTAGTGCCAGTAGTACTGGTTATGTCTGTCCAAATATGTATATCTTTTGATCTTTTGACTTACTAGTACCACGAAGAGGGCAGAATAAAGGTTACATATACAATAACTCCAAACACATCCTTTTGGAAATATCGATTTTATGACATATCTCATACATCTCCCTTTTCCATTATGTATTGTTACCGCCTGTTAATAAATTATTGAACATCGAAGGATCCACATATATGCAAATATAAATGTATATAGATGTCACCAACGTAATAATTCTTCAGTCTATACTTGTACCAAAAATATGTGTGATAACCAGACAGACAATTATTCGCAACAATAAAACATGTCGTCTGCTAAAAACGCCATCGCCCACCTCCCCACACCCTACGGCGGTTTGTTATCTTACGAATATCATGACCCAATATAGATTCTATGGTGATCCTTTTCTTACCTCGAGACTACAAGTTTGACTCTTTCGGTGTTAGGGTTCGGAATACGACCTGTCAGTCCGACAAAACGATCTCCAACTCCGGACAAATTCTTCTTCACGACTTCCCGAAAATCTGAGTCTGACAGCTCAGCTTTACCGGTCTCGTTTCCGGGTAAAGAGATAGTGCGGGGGAAGTTACTGTTTCATACTTTTTATAGATATAAAAATTGAGCTTAAATATTGTATTTTCTAAAATTTATGAGCTAAGTTTTTGTTTTTCAAGATGTTAATGATGTTTAACACTATTGTTTTGATCTAATGCACCAAATCAAGATAAATATGAAGTATTGATTAACCCATACATTTATGGTATGGTCTAAAAACTTGGAACACGCAGCTCTTTATGATTGGCTCATCTGTATCACGTGGTAATTCCGTTTAATGTTTCCCACAATGCAATGCGGGCCGAAGAAAACACGGAAACATGGCGGACGACGTTTTGCCAATTTTGATGCCGAACATCGAAGGAAACGGAGACGATTCGTCCAGTGACAGTGGTGTGTTGTATCTCCCTTATTGTTTGATGCATTGTTCACCGTTTAAGGTACCGGGAGAGCATTTTAGAAATGTATTTCGTCTTCGCAAAAGGGCTGGTAGACCGATTATTTTCGGATACATCAAATCAAAATACAGGATATTTTGACAGTGACGATGAGTATGGGAGGCGGGCGGAGCAAAACAATATATGAACTTTGATCTATGAACGAAATAAAACAACGTTACCATATAGATCGGACATGCTTGCATAAAACCTGGCTGCAAGGAAATGTAGGTCACGAGGTTCTGGGCATATTCATTCATGATTCAGATTCAGATTCAGATTGGCTTTATTGATGTCGCAGTGGGGTACACTGAATTAAGATCAATATTACATAAAAGTACAATATAATGGTTGGCGATATAGGTTAAAAGGTAGTGCAATAGCACAATACAGTACTGTACATGATTAAAATATAGTACAATAATCAATAAAAGAGGAGCGTCATATATATATACAAAGAATTGGTCGTGACAGTAAGAGAATATTCGCTCATTGACAATTCATTAAAAGTAAATCACAGATTAAAAGTCATGCTGGTTCAACAATCGAGTCAGGTAGGGTATTGGTGAGTTTCTGTATCTCTGTGTGTATCGACTACAGCATACCAAGTAGCTTGACACACATTCAAAACCTCCCTGGATATATTGCACTTGGCAAGGCAAGGAGGTCCCTCAAATTTTATAGACTGTGCAACATCTATAAAATAGTGACCTGCAGTCATGTCACGTCTTACTGCGGTGCATGGCATGTGTATTGTCATCCCAAAATACTACATTGTGGAATGGTTTTCTATATTAATTATGTGTTTGGACAGTAAACATATTCATAAGAAAGGTTGTTGTTCAGTAAATGCTAAGTCAGTAAATGAGCAAAATTTACTATACTCAATTACATATGTATCTTACAACATATCCCACATTGCCAAAATTTTAGAGACTTTTACTTTTGTAATGAAAAACATTGTAATGAAAATATTGACTGTTGAATGAATATCTTTCCATTCAGAGAGGGAGAGAGAAGGTGAGGACAATGCAGATGGTCAAGGGGAGGAACAACAGGAGCAGCAACAACAAGAGGAGGATGGGGACAACGAGAGAAAGAAGAAAAAGAAGGAAAAGGACAAGAAGAAAAAGAAGGACAAGGATGGCAAGCGCAACATAAACTTTGATCAGTCCCTGCCTGCCAGCCATACAGTGAGTACTAGTATCTTACAGGATTGTGTATTACAGATTGTGTATTAAAACTAGCACAAAATTGTGTATTAAAGCTAGCATAAGAGTGTGTATTAAAGCTAGCATAAGAGTGTGTATCAAAGCTAGCGTGATTGTGTATTGAAGTGAGCATAAGTTGTGTGTTAAAGCAAGCATCTGCCAAAAACAGTTACTCAAGCAACTGGATATGATTTTGGAAAAATCAAAAGTTTTTTGGTTTCCAAAATCATATCCAGTTGCTTGAGTAACTGTATTTGGTGTATCTTATTACCTGGATGACTAACCTTCATCAAACTCAAGTAAAGCTAGCATCTACCAAGCTTCAGAAGCATTTGGAAAGAGTAGAAATTGGTCAAATAGACAGATAACATTACACCACGCTAGATTAAAGCAGGTTTTGTAATTTGTTTGTATGAAGACAATTTGTTGCAGTCATTGTAAATAAACTTACTTAATTGTTATGTATTGACTTATATTCAGTATTCGACGCATATGTTTTGTATTCGTCCCTCAGTATCTGGGTAGTGACCATGAGGAGTACAGTGGCAGGACAGTGCTGGATGATGAGAGTTATGTGAACCTGCCCCTGCTGACCCTGCCCAGTGTGGTGCTGATCCCAGGACAGACCCTCCCTCTCCAGCTCTTCCAGCCACAGACCATCTCCATGATGAGACATGTCATACAGAAGGACAGGACGTTTGGGCTGGTCACATCCAGGTTAGCCTCAGTTTTTCAATATGTTCTATTCTAGGGGCATTATCATTAGATGACATAGCTTTAAACAATGTTTAGAGTTTCATGTTCAAGGGTTAGGTGTAACAAGTCGTTCGGTGTAATGTAGCCAGCTGCTGCCACGCCGCGTGCCTGCGAAGCTGGTGTGCTATGCCGAAGGGTGGTTATACCGGCTATACAGATACAGATGTTGGAAAGCAAAGCTTGAAACAAAACATCTTTTGCAAGGGAACCCAGTAGAAACCTGTATTCAAGTTGTAGTCATTATAAAGTTAATGCTTGTATACCTAATCCTTATAAGAAGTGTGACGCTTTTTCCTAAGTAACATGTTACAACTTAAACCTTCTCCAAATGGTACTTCAGCAGTTGCAGGAAGAACACATGTTTGTAGCTCTGTTTTTGATTGAATTTCTTGTATCTTGGTATGTTAGATACCTAGACACTTCAGGCCCAACTCTTGCCAACATCGGAACCACAGCCGAGATATTTTCTGTGAAGGAAGAGGATGAGCATGGGATTGAGACTATGAGGATTAAAGCCATGGGACGACAGAGATTTCTCATCCTAGAAACTAGAAGACAAGCTGATGGGTAAGCTAATTTTTTTTCAGAATGTGTTTCTATGTTTTCCTGGTACATATTTCTATACACCTGTCTGTATATCTGTCTGTAATATGGTTATTTGAAAACATTTTGTTTATCATGTAGCTTTGTTGAGCACAAATGATATTTTCATCACTAGCACTTAGAACGATTTGAAATTTTTGTATATTCCAGCATTACAATTGGAAAGGTGAGGATCCTGCCAGAATGGGAGATGCCATCAGGGCTGGAGGGGGCAGAACTGAGATGTCACAGGCTGAGTTATGTCCCTGAGATCACTAGTACTACAGCAATGGAAGTGGCAGCATGTGGAGGACCTGCAGGGGACAGGCAGACAGTGGCAAGGAGTACGAAGGTATTGTGTGATAGGAAATCTGTTGATAATGTTGTAGTTCAAATGAACCTCAGGTCATTTCTTCTCAAATTGATGCTTTGTACAAAATGGTCTGAATTTGACAAAACTTCAATTCTACTTCAAGAGTTTTCACTGGTATAAACCTTAAAACATTGGAATTTTGTCTAAACATTACCACGTCTACTTTCATCACAGAACAAATACAGAGCAGCAGACTGGACGTGGTTTCCACCATGGGTGTACAGACAATATGACTGTGTAAGTATAGAGTTTTTATGATACCCAGGCAATTAGATAGTGTCAACAATCTAGTTACATGTATATAGCTACAAATTAAAAGAGCACAGTTAAAGGTGCCGGTGCTGCAAAGCACTGTCAAGAAACAGTTTTATAATCACAAGGCCAGGCTTTATAGGCAGAATAGCTTTCAGTTAATTCATAAAAAGATAACTAGAGAAACTTAAATGTATGTAATGCTATATGGATTAAAAGTATAGGAAAGTATTCTATTAGAATAGTTGTCCTGCTGTACAACAAGCATCTGATCGGAGACAAGAGAATTAAAAGCATGCTGCTGTTTCCCCAGGATGTGTTAATGGAACTGGTGAAACGTGAGCTGTATAGCTGGAATGATACTCTACAGGAGAACATCATGCCCAATAACCCTTCAGGTAGGCACTGTGAAGAAAGGGGTGGGATCATGGACAACAGAAGCAGCTTTCTATTGACACTGAAAACATACATTGTACAACAGGAAACCATCTGAGAGTGGAACAGTACTTTGTGCTTCCACCAAAACTTTAGTGACAGCAGTGGATAGAAATTTAATTTGCTACCATTCCTCCTAAAGTCTTCGAGGATATCACAGTTCACACCATCAATTTTCACTAGCTATAACCAAGTTACAATGCCATAACAACATTATGCAGAAGGTATGGCTGGAAATGAATAATGGCCAATGAAATGTGTTGGCTTGCATTACGTGAATATTCATCATCTTCTATTTGCTTCTGAATCATTAGCCTGTTTCGTGCTTCCTTGTGCAGATTTCTCCTTTTGGGTGGCAGCCAGCCTCCCCCTGGATGATGGACTGCGGCTGCACTTACTCAGCATTAACAGTACAGTACAGAGGCTGAGATGTGAGCTCAGCATTATGCAGAAGGTAAGCTGTGTATGCACTATGTATGTACAAACGTAATAAACTCAGTTTTTTAGCATCTACTAAGCTTCAGAAGTAGTTGGAAAGAGTAGAATTTTGCCAGATAGACAGATAACATACCAGGGGAGTTGGTCCGCTAAAGGAGTACAGTTAGGTGCTCCCAGTACTATGCCGCTTCTGAAGCATGGCAGAGACTTTAGTTTTTAGTAAGTCACAGAAATCCCTTTTCTTTCAGGGTACTCTTATACAGGACTTACAGCTGCACAGTTCTACATATATTCAGGTTGCTCACTTGGAGGTGCACATCGCACATGTACAATATTAGCTTTTCATTCAGGAAAAATCTCACTGCTAGCATGTATATATCTGTAGGACATGAATGTCACTTGCCTACAGTGTTAGAAATATAATGTGTCCTCACTCACTTACTTTCTATCATGCTTTTGTGAATATTAAAACTTCTCCTCTCCTTGTTTCTTTCCCTCAGTGCACCATCATGTGTTGCAGAGACTGTGGCAGTCAGATAGCTGAGAAGAAAGATGTTTTCAGGTAGTCATGGCTTCATTTTTTTCCAGCTTAGTTTTTGGTTCTTGACTTTGGTGACTCTTGTAGGTTTGAAGATACAGTAATCTCCAGTTTAGATACAGATTTTTGTATTTGATTTTTGTGTTTGCAGCATGTCTGTAGCAGGCCCGATGGCTGCGTATGTTAACCCGGGAGGTTATGTTCACGAGACGCTGACTGTGTACCAAGTCACGGGCATCACGCATCACGGCAGGCCATCCACTGAACATAGCTGGTTTCCTGGGTGAGCACAACACATTTCACATTTAGCTACTATCTGCAAGATCCCAGTTTGTTTTGATCTGATCTGGTCTTAATCTGAAAAAGTGCATACATTGGGTTACTGGGACAACATGGAGACTTTTATCCAATTCATCACACACAAGGGCAAATACCTGAAAGAAAACTGCAAATGCATGTGAACATGAAAACTGTGTACCGGTATGTCAAATTTTTCCTGCATGTAACTTTGTCTGCTTTGACTTATGTCAAGATTGTATGTTCAGATCGTACATTACCTCAAGGGCTGGCATACAATCTAAATGTATGTTCTATACGTATTTTCAAAGCAGGCTGATATGCAGGAAAAATTTGACGTATGCAGTTTTCACATGCTTGCATACAGTTGTCAAACTTCAGGTTTTGCCCGCACGTAAATTGGGTGTATTCTATGCTTTAGTTGTTCTCATCTGAGACTTTAATCCCTTGACCAGCTATGCGTGGACGGTAGCGGAGTGTCGGCAGTGCAGACACCACCTAGGTTGGAAGTTCACCCCTGCTAAGAAGAAGCTGAAGCCGGAGAAGTTCTGGGGTCTGTGCAGAGCGTCACTGTTACCAGGGTTACGTAGCGATGGCGGAGACTCTGAGGAAACTGGGTGGATGCCAACAATGTGAAGCATCTACATATAAGTAGCTGGATTAAAGAAAGTCAGTGCTACCACACACTTCCATGTATGGTGCAGATGCCATGCACAATACTCTTAGCAATGAAAGGCAAACTCCAAATTGAAGCAAAAGGAACAACTGAACTTAGGAAAAGAATTATAGAAAAAACAATATATTTCATCCATACCATGGTATGGAGTGAAATATAACTAACACAAACAAAAGCTTAGAAGACCTCATTTTACAATGCACACAAGTAGTTCATGTCCAAAAAGTAGAAGGCAGGCTTTGCAATGGAAGGTTGCTGTTAAAACCCAACAGGTAGCTGGCAATGGCTAGATGGAACTTGCAGCTTAGATGCTTGTGTCATCACTGTTAGAACATTAAAATGAAGATAGTTTAGAGTCAAACCGTTGAGATCATTGATGGATAATTGGTCAAAATTCAGCTGTCAGAGTTGTACAAAGCCATCAATGCAGGCACCGCATTTCAGCACAAGATAGCAGACAAACGTGTTGTAGAGTATAGCTTGTATATCTCTCACATGGTGAGACAGTTTAGATATGCAGCAACTACACATCCATTAGTACTAGAATGTCGAGCTTAGAGAAGTGTTGTAAACAGCTATGTAAATGTTGTGTACAGAAAAGAAATATTTTGTGGCTAGAGAGTGTGTTCACTGGATACTGTCCATATTTAGCAGGTCTGAAAACTTTTTAAGGAATTAACAGCAGGTTTGCAAACATGTAACCATGTATATACTATGAGAAAGTCAATGTTCGTTACCTAAATATAACTATAATTTCTGTTGCATATTTGATGTAGAATACAGAATTGTTTCACCTACAAAAAGCTCCTGTGTCCTCATACCAAGAAATTATGTACCATGAAAATAATGAGTGAATTGATAATGGAGCATGCAAACAAAGAACGAGCAGTCTTAAACCAATGGTTTATATTTATTTAAGAAGTAGGGTACCTGTGTACAGATGCTGTATTTCAATTCCTCTTAACTTAAGATGTACCATAGATATAGTTTATAGTGCCACCTCTAAACAAGGTAAGATGCCTTGGTCCATGTGGAACTATGTATCAGAATTCTGTTCGGCCTAGGAAAAAAAAGTTTATTGTTTCCCAACCAACCCTGGGCTTTTTTTTATCGACTACTGGTAAAGGCTATGAAATTTTCAATCTGACATCTGAATTCTGAAACATCATTTCATGCATTATCATACCCAATTTTTCTTCAATAGTTCGGGTGAAATAATTGTTCACAATCAAACAGGTGGATGGGTCCTTGCATTGTCAAACTATTTCTCGTATCATTTCAGCCCTAATCTAAAAAAAAAAAGACAAGAAAAGGAAAAATCCCTACCTACCGACCCTATTTTTTTCAGGACTGAAACCAGAAAAACAGCATTACTTTTCCTAGGCCTTTAATACCCAATTTTTTCTTTCAGCACCATATCATAAAGGTGGGACATACTTCACTATACAGCAGCAGTTACAGAGTTTAACTAGACAGTTCTTGTAGATCTCACAGCAAAGAAGGCATTACAATATTCAGTGTACTGTCACACATCATACCACATTTGTTGGCTTGTTTACATGTCAATAATTTTGCTATAAATGTCGGACGGCAAGACACAACAGCATACTTTAAGGCTAACTCTAATTCTCACGACACTACAATACTTCATAAGTACACTATCACCACTCCTTGAGGTTTGTGTCTAATGCAAGAGGCAGTCCGCTGAGAATGAATTACCCGTTGTTAACAAGATTTGACCGTTGGTTCTCAGTATTATGGCGGCATGCGGATGGCGCCGTCTATCCTGATGACTTCTCCGTTGAGCATGGGGTTCTCGATGATGGACTGTACGAGGTGTGCGTACCGTCTGGGTGACCCAGGCGCTGCGGATACGGCACCATCTTGGCCAGGAAGGACCGCACTTTGTCTGGCAGGCTCATCAGCAACGGTGTCAGGAAAAGGCCTGTAAAAATGAGACAAATGATCTTTAGCCTAAATTTGACCAGTATAAACTCATGTAACTACCACATAGCATAACACTGCAGTAGCTAGTCCTATAATGTTTAGTCCTTTGTTTAAAAGACACAAATAGCTTGATGTATGTCTTTAAATTAGACATTTAAAACTGGTGGAAAACAGTGTGGAAGCTTTCTATAGCATGTGGTTTTAGAGGAATTCTCTGACATTAAATGCCCTATTGAAGAAGGCAGAAAATTAACTACATGTACATGAAATGTATCCATATTCATAGAACAAAACCAAGCCTACCTGGTGCAATTGTGTTAACTCTGATGCCCTTGTCAGCCAAGTCTCGTGCTATTGGCAGAGTCATCCCTACGATGGCTCCCTTGGATGCAGAGTAAGCCACCTGCCCCTGCTGCCCCTCGAAAGCAGCCACGCTGGCTGTGTTAATGATCACCCCCCTCTCTCCATCCTCGTTGGGTTCATTCTGGGCAATCTCAGCCACAGACAGTCGAATCACGTTAAAGGTTCCAACTGTGTTTACCTGTAAAACAAACGTTTAAATTTTATGAAAAACTGCAACAGCATAGGACGTACAATAGTATCACAAGTACCGAAGGAAAACATATTGTTTTTGCTCAGTTTCTTCCTCTTCTTCTCCAAAATCAAAAAGCTCAATAACCTAGTCCAGACTGTCTGTTACCATGGTATTATTATGAGTGTTGGGTTACATCATGTTGCAATTTTATAGCAGGAGGGATTTAGACTCCTGTCTATGTAAGAGTAAGAATTAACAGAGCAGATCATATACAAAGGTAAACAATATGCATTTGCTTTGCAAATGTTACCTTTCTAGTAATCAAAGTGTCTTGGTTCGACATTTGAGAACTTACTGTCAGTACTCGCTGGAAGTCTTCCAGTGGGTGTGGTGCGTTCTTTTTGAAGTTGTATGTTTTCATGGCCACCCCGATCCCTGCACAGTTTATGGCTGCGTTCAGCTTCCCAAACTCTGACTTGGCCTTGGCAACTGTGGCCAACACATCTGACTCCTTTGACACCTGGAAAACAATGGATATTCCAGTCTCAGGGCTGGAAATACTGGGTGCACGTGGACCTTAGTACACCCAAATTTGGAGCTGTGCACCCTTTTTTTCCCTGTGGCTGCACCATGTGCTCTCAAATATTTTCTTATGTTTAATGTATGTAAAGATGTTAAATGTATGGTAGTTACAGCATATTTTTATAGTACTTTTCATTGTTATAGTACTTTTCTTGAAAGGAAACATAATTATAGTTTTTGCTGACATTCTACTTATTTTATCTTATAATGTTATATGGTGACCCTAAAATATTTTTGTGCACCCAATTTTTTAGGTTGTGTGCACCAGAGCACCTATTCCCAAAAATGAATTTCGAGCCCTGGGTCTACAAATTCAGATAAAATAATGCTCGTATACAGAGTTCAAATTTCCCATAGAGGAAACCCCAAACTACAATAGAATTTAACAGGACACATTGTTCTGTCCATACTCACATCTGTTGGAGAGAAGACACAGTTCCCACCGATAGTGTTAGCCACAGACTCTCCCTCTGATGTTGGCAGGTCGGCGATCACCACAGATCGCACCCTGCTTTACCAGCCTCTCCACGGTAGCCCGACCCAGGCCAGAGGCCCCACCTGTTACTATGGCAACAAGGCCCTTGGGAAGTGAAGATTCATGTCATAAGTTATCTTTATTGTGTACAGAACCAGTGTTGTATACCAATAACCATTCTAGATTCTGTTAGGTTTATATCTGTCACCTTATGTAAATCAAACCATAATGTTAGTACATTGTTACCTATGCTGCATCTCTAAAACTCAACATATCAAACCCGAAAGAGCCACTGCAGTACCTTAGAAAGCCGCTAGAATCAAACCCGAAAGAGCCACTGCAGTACCTTAGAAAGCCGCTAGAATGACATTTGTATTCTTGACCCCAACCTTCCAACATATACCAAGTATTATGAAGATGCATCCATAATTTGTAATAAATTTTCAGCTATGTGAGAAAGAGAGAAATACAAATGTACGTCAACAGATCTGAACTATGATCTCCTTATCAATTTCTCATTCTTTGTCTACTATACATCACAGTGTCGTATAACAAGTTATGGTTGAGAAAATGAGTGCGATTGGTTACGAATTACTACAGCAAGGTCTCTGAAGTTTAAGGTCGAGAGACCTGGACTTTGATCTCGAGATCTCCCCAGTATATAAAACTTTACAGTGTACGTGCCCTTCCCCCTACACGCCCACCCTACGCCCCCACTGCCTTTAAACTTGGTCCGATCATGTTACAAGTGTAGCAGGGTGTATGTTACACTGCTTGCAGATAAATCATAGCCATGACCAAGCATTGCTGGCAATAGAATTTCTAGGTGAATTATCATACAAGAAAAAGTGTTGTGGGGACAGAGACCCACGAGGTCACATCTGCAAGCTTACGCAGCCCCTGTTAAAGGCGTGTGGAGAGATCTGACCACAGAATAGAGTGAAACAGAAGCTTGGTGACACAAAAAGCTGGTTAATTTGCACTCACATCCTCCACAAAAGAGGTCGAAAACGTCAAAACAACAACAGACCTTGCAGCTCCTGATCGCCGCCATGTTGAGAGAAAGGTCACGTCTTTTGCGATGACAGTGCGCAGTTGCTCACACCTCAACCAATCACAGAACGCGATCTATTCCACTGTCCAATCACAGCTGGTTTTACATCCACGGACAACATGGCGGACGAAAACACGAGTTTAGGAAGTTTACGGAGCTGTGCCGAGGTTTTAAACGAATATGCGACGAAAGGAGAACTCATTGTTGAAGTTATAGGATGCAGAAGATTACAGGAAAACATTGAAATACTGACAGAACTGCTGAAATCTCAAGAAAATAGGTAAATGCTCAAATTTCCTTACTTCAGAGCCAAGGGTAAGTGTGTTTGGGATTTGGGGGCCCGAGGTGGGGGGTGTACAAGCGAAAAATTATGGCCCAAGGCCCAGATAGGTAAACAAGTTGGTAATTCCCACTGTTAAAATCCTCCTAAATACCAGAAGGACGTTGTATGAAATGGTAGAATGTTAAAAATCAGCATAGTTTAAATGGTAATAAAGAGTAAGCCATATGGGCGAATTTTCAGAACTTCATATAACATTCTTGATCATTTGAATTTTTGGTTTGCACTACATCTACATGTATATCCTAAATGTTGTGATAAATAGTTTAATATCATTGGAATTTGAAAGAGAGGCTTGACTTTTTACAGTACGTATACTGAGATCTAAAATGATACACATGAGCAATGAAACAAGCCACCACATTATACTTTATATATATTTTTATGTCTTTACAACCTATGACGTAGGATTTACAAATAATTTAACAGTCATGTATTAAAGCAAATCTCTCTCTTGGTATTCCCTCAACAATATTACCCAGAACCATTCTGCCTGAGTCAGTCTTCCAAGATGCCTCCTGTCTCCTGGAGGCGGTACTGCAGCACCTGGAGTCCAGCCCCCCAGACGGATGGAGCCAGGGGGTGTTGGGGACTTCCACGGAATGTTTCAGATTTCTCAGGAATTCCTGTGTTTCATGCCAAGCAAACCAGCTCAGAGTCTTGTAAGTTACTTTTCACTATAAACTGCATACATAGATTAACCTTCGTTTATCTTGTATGCTCAAAACCTCGTACTAGTTATATTTAATGTGGTCATATCAATTTTGTTGATGTACTGGCTACTTGTCTTGACAGGAATGCAGACCTTGTTCCGACCACCACTGCCATTGTAACTCTTCTCGCAAAGCAACCAGAGCTATCAAATGGCAGTCTCGAGGCAGCTGATTTAGGTATGTACAATTGGACCTTTTTTGTTAGCTGAAAGAACAACTTGTACTAAGTAAATATACTTGGAGATGACCATTTAACGTTACATTATTTATATATATATATACATTGTATATGTGTGTGTTTGTGGCTTGTCAGTATGGTAATAAAATAAGAGGTTTTTTCCTGCTCTTGTACATGTCATGTAGTTGTACAAGTCTCTTCATCCCAAATGCTGGCTCTACGCTGTGCTGTCCAGTTGCTAGGCAACCTGTCATCAGGGAACCCGTCGTCCCAGGATGTCGTGTGGCAGGCAGCATACCCAGATGTCTTCCTGTGAGTACTGGTCCAGTATGTCATGCCTCAAGTCAATCATTCAAGAACTCATTTTTTTTCTTCAAGGTTGTAAATTGTTTTTAAAGGCCAGTTCAGTCAGGGAAGGCTCAAATGTGTAGTTATCATACATCTTGCCTCCACCTACTGATAAAGTAAAGATACTCTTTTTACACAGCCAAAAGACTTGTTTATGTAAAAAGAGTCTCTTTACTCAGTGACTTACTAACCTGTTGAAACTATTCATGAACTAGAGTTCCCCGATCTCGTACCTTCGCCAAATGATGTTAATCTTTATGACTGACAAAGTTTAGATTAGATTATTCCCCCCTGATTTAAGAAATAGGAACCTAATTTTTATGAATTATATCATTTTATCATAATCTCAACCAAAAGACAGTCTTATATTAACAAACAATGCATTCTAACATTTCCTAATAAATTATGCAAATGAGGTCCTGATTTGAATAAATTATGTTTAATGATGTTCACCTCAATTTAACTTTGAAATACCACAAGTATGAAATTCCAGGCAGTTATCATTACATAATTATAAAATTTTCTCATTAATTATGCAAATTAAGTCATTATTAACATAATCAACATCTTCCTGTGTTTCTCTCGTTGTCAATTACCAATGTCACAAGCTTCAATTGTCCTATTATGGAATGCAGCTGATTTATAGAATTTCCCCATAAATTATGCAAATTACATCCATATTTGCATAATTGTCACATAATTATATTAAGCATCACGTAAGCTACCTACATACCAAAAATCACGACGATCCGTCAACCGGTTCTTGAGTTATCCCCTTTTGAATATTTTCAAGAATTTATCCCTGCAGTTCCAGAGCAAGCCGCTAGGGGGCCTAAACTCACGTCACTTTTTTCCCAGCACAAGAGCTACCTACCATCTAAATTTCATCACCATAGCATGTCTAGATCATGAGATATCAAAACCGGAAGTTCAGCTGCAGTACCATAACAAGCCGTTAGGGGGTCCAAAATCTAATCATTTTGAGGTCTCATCAAGACCTACTCACCTACCAAGTATCAAGACAATCCATCCAGGCCTTCTCAAGTTATCGTGTTTACAGACAGACAGACAGACAGACACACACACACACACACACATACACGAACGCCCCTGAAAACATAACCTTCTTGGCGAAGGTAATTATACTGACAAACAGTATGTAAGTTTTTGTAACAAAATGTACTGCGCCTGTGTGAAACTGGTAATGCATTGTGCGCTATTTAAGAAGTCTTGTTTATGGTCATAGTTGCATATTTATGGATGACATCCTGTTTATCATTTTTGAATGTTGTGTCGGGAAAGATATCGCCTGGAACAGGCAAAAACGTTGACCAAATACCCAACAAAAACTCATGGAAGTACAGGTTTCCCAAGGGTGCACTGCATTCTGCTGATATGCTCAGTTACAGTAACATGTTGTACTTGTGTGTTTCCAGGTCAGCCCTGGGATGTCCTGACCCCACAGCAGCAGGGTACTGCTGTATGGTCCTCCATGTCTGTCTGAATGACACCACCATGCAGCAGCTAGTGTTGGACACTAAGGGCCGCCTCCTGGTGCAGACTGTGCTGGACCTGTGTGAGAGACAGCCTGATCTAGACTGGGGGTCAGATATCATGTGTTTCTTGCAGTCGATTATTTATGTTGTGCAACTCCAGTGTACCAAATATACATGTACTTCAATTTCATAATGAGAAATAAACTGTTATCCAACTTAACAATTTGATTTTAAAAAATCTGTATCTTGAATTTTTAGGCACATTACACACTGTACACTTACTTGTGTAGTAACACTAACAGTATGCATTTATTCATGTACTGTATCTAAGACATGTCTTTCACAGACTGTTGTTAGTGACTGAAAAGTTCCTGATGTCCAAGTTCTTCCTGCCCAATGTTTACAGTACACTTCCATTAGAAACCAGGTGAGTCAATCACATATCCATATTTAGCTGAATTCAAGCATGTTGTGAACAGTCCACACTTGGTATTCATATACATGTCACTTTAGCATTGTTAAAAATGTACATGAACCAGTGCTGGTTATAGGTACAGATAGACATCAGAAATACCTGGTGTACAGCTTCAATTTTACCTGCACTAACCTGCATATAAAGTTGGTATTTCGATCCCAAATTTTACCTGTCTGGTTGCCAGGATCATCCTGCTTGACATCATCTCAGCTAAGATAGGAGAGAGTGAGAGCAGCAGTCCTGGTGAGGAGGAGGACCAGGTCCTGCCTGTCTTTGTGTTGGAGTTCCTGGCAGCCGAGTTCCAGGAAAACTTCCAAACAATCCTGTCTGTAGGGGAGAACACTGAGAACCTGGTAAGCTGGGATACATGGTCAAAGACCATAACCTCCTTGATTCGTTGATGAAGGTTAGACATCCAGGTAAACATTAACAATATGCAAAGACAGCTCAAACTTTACTCCTGGAAAAATAACATGTACATGCACTTAGATTATTTCTGAACGTGACAACGCTCTTCTTCAGGGTCCCTAAAATATCTGTCATTTGGAAGAAGAGTGATGGAAAACACTTGAAATGTCTGGAAATATTCTCCATAATTTATCTAGACTGGTAGAGTTTGAATTGCCTTTGAAGAACCTCCTTGATTGCTTGGCTACACCATCGTAATGATATAGGAGCTGTAACACTCTTCCAGCTATAGTAACATACAAGGGTATTTGCTAAACTGAACTAATAATTGATTGAAATGCATTTGAAATCACTGTTAGTAGCTCTTTACTAACAGTACTGACTTTTATATCCACAATTTATCCTTCCTTCAGGAAGCAGTTATTATTATGAAGCTCCTAAAAGTGCTGTGTCTCGGTACGGGACAACAGGAAAAATATATGGAACTCATCAGGATGGAGTCCTTACTAGCGTCTGGTGTAGGTAAGTCTGTCACCATGGTAACTGGTGCTGTAGTAGACACCCTGCTGTGGTGTTGGGTTACATCATGTAGCAGGACAGAGCTGGAGCATACATGTAAGGGCTGGGCGCTATATACATGTACCAGTATATGATTGTGTTTGAGTATAGCAGAGCACTTGTTTGTTAGGCTAAATCATGTGAAGATAAACATTTTGAATTTGCTTTGCAAATGTTACCTGTCATGTTTACCAAAAGGAAAACATACATTTGTAATTGTTTTTGCTCAGTTTCCTCTTCTTCTCCAAACACTGACCTCTGACCTGGTCAATGACCTGAACCAGACCATTTCTCACCATCATGGTAACTGGTGTTGGGTTACATCATGTTGCAATTTTATAGAAGGAGGGATTTAAGTTCCTGTCACCATATATGTGAATGTGTTTAGGAAGAATTAACAGAGTAGACCATATGTGAAGGTAAACATTATGCATTTGCTTTGCAAATGTTACCTTTCTAGTTTATAATACTATTAATTCTAGTACTGTCTTTTATCTCAGAACTTCTCAGATTAACTACTGCAGCTGGTAAGCTGGGAGACAACATTTTCAGTCAGACACAGAAGATGGTTCCCCCGGACAGTCCTGATGATGTCCACCCTGTCCATGGGCTGAAGAGAGATCTCATCCGGCTGCTGGGAAACATGTGCTTCCAGAACACGTCCAACCAGGACAAAGTATGATGTTTCCCTTTACTGTTAGTAGTTTTGTTACCTTCAGGGAAGGAGGTATCCTTCCGCGGGAAGGTACTGTTTTCGGTTGTGTTTGTGTGTTGAAAGCAATAACTCGTGGTGGGTTTGACAGATTTCTTTGATTATTGGTATATGATTGGGGTCAGATGGTTTCTTTGTACAATGTACAATTTTCAGGACCTGGAAATAAAACAATTTGACACCCCCTGCTGTATGTGGTGTAGTGTCCTTTAGGCTCTTGTCTGCCAGGCTATATCACACTACTTTCAGGAGAGGGTAGGCCTGTATTTTGTATCACCCATCTTCTGTCCATGCAGGTTCGTGAGTTGGAAGGTATCCCCCTTATCTTGGACCATTGCAGCATAGACGACCACAACCCCTGTATCCTTTGTAGTCTGTTAACGTAGCTGTTTGTTTTAAAGTAAAAGACTTAGTGTACGATGTAATGTCATTCTTTCTTGGCCTTTTCTCCAATTTCTATTGCATTGCAGTTTGAAGAAAGATAATTCTTTCCTTTTGCTACATCCAGTATAATTAGAATTGCCACAGCGATACTCTTTTGATACCTACAATTAGATATCCACTAATTCTTCTAAACATCATCTTTTCAGATCGTACTGTTTTAAGTTTTATTCTTGACCATTGGTCCTAGATATCAGCCAGTGGGCCATCTTCACGATACGTAACCTGTGCGAGGGGAACCATGACAACCAGGCAGTGATCGCTGGCCTGGAAAACAAAGGGCTCGCAGACAACATCGCGCTCAATGACTTCGGAATCGAAGTGACCGAGGACGACGGCAAACTGGTGGTAAAATCAGCAGACAAGTGAGATACTAATACGCAGGCTTGCAGTACAGACTCATGATATGCATACATGTAAAGTGAAACCCGCCAAAGGGGCAGAAGAAAAGTGGCCACCTTGGACAGGTGGTATCCTTGAAGAGGGTTGCCTCACAACATGACTGAGAGTGTGAGACATAAATTGTTTCCAAGTCGAGATGTTTTAATGTCAAATGTTGTGGGCGTCTTCAGTTCTATGATGAATGCATGTAGGGAGGGTGGCACATGGAGCAATTTACATCAAACAAAAACATCATCCAACAGTCAAGGAAAACTGGCTGGTTTCTCCATGATTTCTCATTGGTTATCATCAATAATCAACATGATGGAAAATGTCCAGGTGGCCAGCTTGAAGAGGTGGTCACCTTGGCAGGTTTGACTGTACATCTGTTCTGAACAGTACACACACAGGCACATCTCTACTTTGGATGTTATAAAAAAACTGTGTACTTTTGGTCACGGCTACATCTTGACTGCTTTTGTTGTGCAACCAGGCATGCCATAACCTACATCAGATACACTCTGTGGGCTATTGTTCATTCTCTACATGTACAACTAAGAAAGCAGCAAGCAAAAAGACTCCAGAATTTAGTGAAGACTTCAGTCAGCGTCCAAGCTCTACTCCTGAGTTACTGGGGCATGCAGGCACACAAAGCGTCACTAAGTTAGGTACTTTGTGGCACAAGCTTCTGCAGATGTCTTGGCAACAAAGAGGAGCACAGGCCTTGACCACTTGAGATGTGGTCAGATTGCTTGCAAAAGTTATAATTACTGGTACTGCAGAAACATTGGACTGAACAATCATGGCAATTGAGTATGGTAATCTCGGCTTCCAAAGAAAAGTATAATGTGTAGCAAACACATATCTTAGAACAATTCTGTAGCCTATTTATTCCAAAGATAATGTCTAAGCTAATAGTAATATTAAGGTTAAGATGTAAATGACTTTTGTATAATTTTATATTTTGGTTGCCATTGTGTACAGATAGATATGTAAACTAACAATGCAAGGAAGTGCTGCATTCCAAAGTGATTTTAGGGGGGCATATAAAATTACTTATGTACAACTGATATTTACTCTACAATTCCTCAATAATTGCTCTATTGTTTTTCTGCTCAGAATATTCTATGAAAATTTTAGATAGCCATGTTTGCCTTTTTCATGACGTCATGATTTCATGGTCTAGTTTGTGTATTGTCACTAATGTTAACTACTATTACTTATTCTTTATTTCAAAAGGGAAGATAGGTAAAGATGACTCCTCCCAACCCTGTAGTACAACTGGCACCCAAATTACAGGTTGTAGATTTTTTTTATATTACAGGTTTATGTGGACAATTTCGACAAAATGTGAAGGAAACATGGACATGTTTTTTATGAGTGGGTGTGTTTTTATCAGTCACCTTGCACCTACATCAATCATGCTACACTTCTTGATTATTTTCCCATTCAAATCTTTTATCATGTATCTCATTGCCATAATCCACCATTACTTGGATTGTTGCTAGGTTATACATGTACATGTGTGTATGTGGAAATCTGCCTTTGCACTTGAAGGCACTTAGGAATTCTAAAATCATGTTTGGATTCAAAATCTGGGAAGAATGATGAACATCAAGCTTCACTTATGCAGCTACATGTATTTTCATAACTGTGGCTATAGCAGCAAAAGTGCAAGATCTCTGTTCATGGGTCTTACCTATGATATACATGCAATGAATGTGCTGAGAGAAATATGAACGGAATAAACTTAAAGCCAGTAGATAAAATGCCATTATGTCGAGTGTAAGCATTTTGTGTGTTTGACTTTGAATGTGTAAATTTAAGTTGACATCCTAGCCAAGGCACAATACATTATCCATAAGACACAGTGAGAAAATATTCTTTACAGTATTGTCACCACCTTTATTCAGTGTTAGAATACAACATCATATCACTTGTGCTTCACAAGTGTGTTAAACATATGTACACAATGGAAAAGCTGAAAACTTACATTGTACATGGCATAAAACTTATTTCCTTTTTTTTCCTACTACCGGTATTCCAAGAGGTGCACAATATTACAAATCTCTACATAGCAATACTGCCACCAACAATATAAGGCAATCTAGTAGAACATTAACATTTGACATATGCTATACTTCATGTGGTTTTGGCTCACAAAATCTGTACATTGCCTGTGGTGCATTTGAGAAATATGCACTTTGTGGCAATACTACTGTAATACGTGATGAAGAAATCTGATAAGAATTAAAATGTACAACTTACAACAACCATTACAATAGATTATCAAGCCCGTAAGTCTACTGATATTTAGCAATAGGGTAATCTGTATGACCACTTGGTTCCTTTCTTTGAACAAGTGAACAAGCAAAACTTTATGTCAATATGGATTCTTGTGCACAGATAGAATATTTGACTTGCTACTCTGTATAGTATTGGTCAGGCAGAACCAAGTGGTCACATCTGGGTCATCAGGCACATTGTGGTTGGAAGGTCAAGGGGTAGAGGTCACAGCTAGGTCACCGACTGGTTTTGTTGAACTGCATGAAGTACTGAGCTGTTGGTTCATTGGTGTAAACCTCCTTATCCAAGAAATCCACGCTACAGGGGGAGGAGTAAATCATGTGGGGGTTACACAAGGGACAGGTGCTTCAGGCGTACAACTCGGCTAAAGGTAAGACTACAAAATCCATTATAGCCTCATAATGCAAGTTTGACTGAAGTTTCCAACCCTAGAAATTGGACTTACCCAAATTTTTGACTGTGCAACTCACCAATCTTTGTCAAGGATTGAGCAATCCACCACTTCTGTTGTTGACAAAGACTGGAGTTGTACAGTCGAAAAATTTGGGTAAGTCCAATTTCTAGGGTTGGAAACTTCAGTCAAACTTGTGTTGAAAAATACAGTGTAAACGTGCTTCATAATGACTTCTACCAACAGATGAACTTTCAAGATATGATATCAGCCTTGCACATAATGTATCTAACCATCAATTTATGGTAATCTATTGAGAAATTATCATCCTGATTTCCTTTCATAGTTAACATTTACTTTAGTCCTAACAATTCATAAGTGTGAATAATACAACTGTAAATGTTTTTCAACTTTTTACCACTGTTCTAATAACTTCTATAACTATGAACACAATCATTACAAACTGTTGAAAGGTTGAGCATGTGTTGTTGATTAGTTGTTAAAGAGTTGGGGGAAAAAAAGAGGGAACGTTGAGGCATCATCTGCTGGATGTGTTCCACTGAGAGTAGAAGTCTCCAGTGATATTGTTCCGGTAAACCTCCTTGTCCATGAACTCTCGGCTGTGGAAAAAAAGAAAGAGAGCAAACACACAAAGTGAGAGAAGGTTTGTTATAGGTTGGAGGATGCCACCCTGCTCCTACCTTTACAAGCTGTGTATTGGTATGGCCCTGCATATGAAGCTGCTTGGATTTGGGTATGTTACTGTGAGTTTTAATTTGCACACCACACCAAAACTTGTGAGTTAGCAAATAGCAGTGAATTCTTAGTCATGCTTTTAAAGCTGTGAGGATGTTTTTGTTGAGCAAAACTGTTTTTAAAAGTAGCTAAAGCTATCCACCAAGTTAAGGGATCAATGCTTATGAAATTTTCTCTAGTTTGAAGACTAGTATCTATGTGTGTAAAGAATAACCAGATCTTCAAATCATTTTCATTTCAGAAGTTACCAGGAATAATGAAATACAATTTTTTTTCATTTTGATATCATTTTGGTCATCAATCAAAAATTCCTCTTGAGCTTTAATCACTTGATATTTGTAAAAGTAAACAAAACTCACACACAAAAGAATGATTAAAAGATAGCAACACTCCACAAAACAAGAAAAGTAGAATATAAAATGTTTTTCCTGTTTGTCCTGCCATCTCTTGTGGTACATTTCTATGGAAACTGGAAGCAGACCAGCTGCACTTCCTATGTGTCCTGCTAGAGGGAGCTACTTACTGTGCCTTCTGCTCCGCACCAAGTCGCAGGTTCTCATGGGCTTGCTGCTTCTCGAGTTCCTTCTTCAGACGTTCCTCTCTTCTCTCCAGGATGACGGCGGCTCGGTCAGCGTCCACACGTTGTTTGTCCCACTCCTCGTTTCTCAGACGTTCCTCCATGGCCAGGCGCTACAAAATTGATGGATATATGTCAATCAACCAAAGAAGAAAACAGATGAACATTCAGTCTGTGCAAAAAATAATTTTACCTCAATGAACTTTGATGCTTCAGTTCAACACAAGCAATAGTAGCTCACCTCGAATATTCAGTCGCTCTCATGTCAACCTTCTTCAGGAGTGAATCGTAATTATCATATAGCCGGACGGCGTGGACCAATCAGAGGCCCGGATACCCGTGCTGTTATTTCCCGATAACAGCACATGTGGTGTTATGGCGGAATAACAGCACATGTCGTGTTATGGCTGATACCATTATGTTATAGGGTATAGGGGCATGCGACTCTTTCTGTAAACCTTTGTAGCATTTTTCTGTCCAATAAACTTTTTTGTTTAGCTTCATTTAAACTACAATTTGCATTAAATGAAATTATCCATATTTGTTTTAAAGCGTATAATATATTCGAATGTATTTTTATGTATGTATATATATTAAAGCTGTTGTATTTCAAACAGGAATTGTGTTGATTGACAGTTTGGATAGGCTATATGATAATAATTTTAATGCACTGCCTTTTCCTCGTTGTATATGGTGTCATAACTGCATGGGCAGCTGCCATAACCACCTCATAAACCACCTCGTTCGCTTCGCTCACACGGTGGTTTATTCGGTGGTTATGGCAGCTGCTCATGCAGTTATGACACCATATACAACTCGGGGCAGTGCATTAACCCTTTATTATCTAGCATGCGATATTGGCCCCCAATATCAAGTTAATATTGCTTGTGTTGATTGAAGGTATCAAATTTAATAATGGAATATAGATGAGCTTTCTTTACTTCATTTTACCTCATCTGCTGCAAAGTTATGTATTTTAAAAGTTGTATGTAAATAATGTTCAGTTTTTATGCAGCTTGTATGATGTATGTCTGCTATTATCCAGGAAGACTAGCTACATACTTGTCTGTTTGTACTTGTATGTTTGCTAATGGAGGAAATAACACACCTTTAAGCACCTGCCTACTCGGAACAACACAGTCCCCTTTGAAATAGTTTTAAAAAAACATGTCCCTACCTCCTTCTCCTGCCTCTGCTGCTCCTGTCTGTTACGGACATCAGCCAGCTGCTCGGGGCTCATCCCCTTCCACCTGTCCGTGATGACGCGGTGCGGGCCGAACGCGCTCTGTGCCACGGCGGGATTCTCCGTCAGCATGTCTCCGTAGATGTGGTTGGACAGCTCGGTGTAGTTGTCGTCCTGATGCTGCTGCCTCTTCATGGCCTCCTGCTCCTCCTTTTCCCGTTGCTATGGAAGGAAACAAGAATGAAGTGAACAAACACACCTACAAAATTAAAAAGACCATTGGTTTTGTTTTTTAAGATTTGCTATATTTCAAAAGAGGGAGTACAAAGTCTACCAGTGAAATGCCTGTCAAATGCTCTTTATGCCACCATGCTTCTTTTGATATTCCTTAGTCTACTAGTATTCTTTTTTATATTCACAGTATTCACAGGATAGAGGCAAATGGGAGGCTAACATCAAGCCTGAGCTTCAGTGTGCAAGCACTAACACATCTAGCTGGACTGAGTGAGAAGTTATTATAAGATACATGTACTAGGGCTGTGACAGGCTGTAATGGTTAGCAAAGATTACAGGCACTTACAACAAAGTTCTACAGATGGTAAACTACTAGTAACAATCTCAGTCTTACCTGTGCCAAATTGAAGTTCTTGGTCGCCATGTTGATCTGACGCCTGCACTCCTCCTCAGCCGTGGCCAGTTCGCAGGCGCGCTGGTCCAGTTCCCGCGCCTTCATCTCGTACAGCAGGTCCGCGTGCTTCTGGTTCATGTCCGAGGCATTGCGCTCGTTGATCTGGGCCTTGGTCCACTCACGCATTTGTTCCTGATGTAGAAAATCAACAGATGTTAATATAATATGATTTAAATTAATTTAAAGACTTTAAATTTACATATTTACAGATTCATTTAGAGAGCCAGATGGAAAGAAAAAGTTGTGCCTCACAAGGGATGAACAGGAGAAATGTAAGCAAACAAACCTGTTGGTACTTTTTCCTGGCTGTGAAGTTGAGATCCTCTCCGTCCAACTTCTGAACCCCGCTGATACCACACCGAGGGTCGTCATCGGTCAGTCGGGCGGGTTTGTCCTTCTTCAGGCCGTCAGGGTCATTCAGGTCAAACTCACGCCGCGTCTCGGGAACCTGGAAGTTCTTACGGAAGTCGTTGACGGCCATGTTGAGGTTGCGGATGTCCTGCTCCTGCCGTTGTTCCATCATTACCACAACCTTGTCATTGCGAATGGCATCAGCAGCTGGAAAATAAAGAGAAGATAAGCATACATGTATTTGAGTTATTGAGATTGTAACAATACAATACATGTGGAACAAAAAGGCAGCTGTTGCTGGTGTTGTGTCCCACACATATAACAAATACAGGACGGACAATACTCATTTTGACTTGAGTTAAGTGAGGAAAGTCGTGTAAAGTGCCTTTCCCAAGGGCACAGGACAGTGCAATTACATTGAAGTTAATGAATTTAAGAGTCAAAATTACTCTGTTCTTGCCAGCTTGTTTTTTGTATCCATAGTTGAAGAGCTTCAGTATATATGTGCCATTTGGCAAAAGAATAAAACTGCTATGATATACAGGACATACCAAAGGCCTCTGCCCGAGCTGCTTCTGTCTCCTCTCTGACTGCTCTGTCCTGCACCTGCTGTTCCAATGCCTGCACATCAACCTGAAACATTACAATCAACTCATGTCAGAAATTTAATTTCTGCTGCACTCAAAGGTCTAACTTGTTTCTGTTGATGTGTGTATCTTTTTTTTAAGCAGAATTGAAAAACTTTGTTTACAAAAACTTCTTGGTTACAGCTACTTTCAAGTAGCAAAATATCAGGTAAAAGGATGGAATTGACAATACACTGGCCATGTGGGTATGGTCACATTCAGGTTTGGATATCATATAAAGGCATTGTTCGTTTTTCAATAGAATTCAGAATTGATAAGACTTCCATTAGTAGCCATCAATAAATAATGACATGACTTCTATTACATCAACTTTGAACAATGGATGACAAGATATAACTGACATATCTTCCTGCAAGATCAACGATGGTTAAGTGCTGTCACGCAATACCATCCAGTTGTGTGTGTGTGTGTGCATGGAGGTAGAAAATCAGATATTCTACCTCAACGGTGTGTGCGAACATGGATATTTGCGTATTTTTTAATGCTTTAGACTCTTACCCCAATTATCCTCTCCTTGGCATTAAAGATGCGGCTCTGGCGTTGTTTCTCCATGTTTCGCCGCCGCTCTATGGCCGCAGCCTGCTTCAAGTCCACAGGAAGATCCAACTTGTACATCTTGGAAGTTGGGTGTGGTGGCTATTCGCTCACAAATCTGGAAGAAAAAATAATGAAAAGACATATTTGTTAATGATATTCAAACTGTGCACTATAGTATAGGTTCCTTTTGTCTGAAAATATTCCACATCACTGTTGTGTATAAAAAATGATTCAAATGTTTTTGGAAATATGGTTTAATATCTTGCAGACAAATTAAATCACATCTACAGAAATCAGTTGGCTTCATTCATACTTTTTAGGCCAGCCAAATGTATTCGTTCTGTCCACTCCAAAATTTATCTATTTTTGACCTGATTATTTCTTCTTTTTCGTCAAATTTTTGTAGATACCTCCGTCCTTGGTTTCAGAAGAGCTTGATCAGCCCCGATATGGGGTAAACATCAGACGTAGCCAAGATACAAAACACTGACAAGAAACCCCCAAAAGGTTCAGAAAGAACGTTCCATACGTTCCACGTCAACTTTGTCCTCTTTAAAATACACCATGATTAAACTGCAAAGGAAGTTTCCAAACTTTTCGGGATTATTCTGAGCAGATTACCTACCTTCTTCTGGTCTGATAGGAAGAACCTCTGGGAAGTAGATTACACGATGTCCTAGTAAATAATGCAGTAGTGTTATGGCGATCTCACGCTTTTGTATCAGCTGTCTTCCCGTTGCTATGTTTATTCTTCCAAACCTGTGTTGTACCAACAATATAAATGGGTATGTTTATTTCTTCAGATTACACTTATTTGTCAAAAAATCTAACTATACAGTCTAATTATACACAAAAAGGAATGAATTAGATATTAATACAAAGTTTGTTTTCAAGTTTGAATAGATGTGTGTTCTAATTTGTACTATATTAAAATTTTTAATATTTTGACATCCCCAAAGTTCTATGGTACATTCTTTATAGCAACCACTTGACTTCACGGAATTTTACGCGAGAAATAGCGAGAAAAATTTCTGCGCATGCGTAGCTGGTGATCGTCCGTTTTCCCGCTAAATTTTGGCATGAGAGAAGTCCAAAACAGTGCGTGAAAAAGGCGATTTCTAGCAGGATCGCGAGCTTTTGGTGTGATTTAACGTAGCCCAGGAGGTCTAGTAACACTAGAAGCAACCATGGGCTTCTTGCGGGAGCTGGAGATGGAGAATTTCAAGTCCTACCGGGGCAAACAGACCATCGGGCCCTTCAAACAATTCACCGCCATCATAGGACCAAATGGGGCAGGTGAGAAATGATTTGTTTTTCGTCGCATTTTCGTCGTATTTTTGAGAGATCGGGGATTGAAAATCTTTTGCAGTAGGTAGTGCGTAGATGAAAGAACCTTGCATAACAGTTATTTTGGACAAAGTTGCCGCTGTATGTGTAGAAAATGGATAGATAGTTCAGAGTGCTTTGTATGTTTTCAGGTGGTTTAGGACCCAACCCCCTTGCCCACACAGGCAAAATATTATAGTTGTATTTTCCTGCAACTGTATAATAACTTAATTTTCTTGGATAGTTTCTTTGTGTACAAGCTACAAAAATAAAAGATGTTACTAATGTAATTCACTAAGTCTTCACTGGGTGTTTGTTTATAATACTATATAACCCCCCCCCCCATCTTTTATTTATCTGTTTAAAATTTTTTTAATACAGGGAAGTCAAACCTCATGGATGCCATCAGTTTTGTGCTTGGAGAGAAGACGACACTTCTGCGAGCGAAGCGCCTGTCGGACCTGATCCACGGCACGCCAGTGGGGAAACCGGCGGGAAACAAGGCCTCCGTAACGGCGGTGTACGCTGAGGACGACGGGTCCGAGATTCGCTTTACCAGAGTGTAAGAGACCCTTTTGTAGTGAATAACAATAGGGGGGCCTGCATTCCCTTTTTCGTAAGGCGTAATCAGGCCTTTTTAGTCTTCGTAATCAGTAGGCATGCTCCTAGAAAATCAAATTTGTAATAGTTCATTAGCCGCAAAGCGTAAAGTCGTAATCAGCTCTGAGAATTTAACGTAATTTGTAATCACTCACACTCACTATCGGCGGCAAAAATTTTGCGTAATTCGTAATCACTACTCCCACGCAGGCCCTCTAATATTCCAGCAGAAATGCGAAATGTTTGTAGCTCATAGAGAAAGACAATTCAGATACCGTGCCATGTTAGATATATCTTGCCTGAAATTGTCATAATTCATATGTCTTTTTCTTGTTTTCTGTAGTGTCCACGCATCTGGGTCTGCAACAGACTACAAGGTGAACGGCAAGGTGAGACAATTCTATAGCTTACACATACATGTATCTATCTATATTTACATACACCATAAGTTAGAACACTCATGAGTGAAAGCTGAAGGAAGTAGTACACTTATTATTCAGTTTTCACTCAGGTGACTTGTAGGGAACAACCTGTAGACCTAATAATAGTATGTTTAACTCATTTTTCTTATGCAGTACCTGGTATATCTTACAACTACATTGTATAGTGCAATCACTTCAATGTAGAACTCTGTCACTGAAGCATTATTTATTGTTTCCTCTCCAGTCTGTGGGTATGCAGGCGTACCAACAGGAGCTGGAGAAGCTGGGTATCCTCATCAAGGCCAAGAACTTCCTGGTGTTCCAGGGTGCTGTGGAGTCCATCGCCATGAAGAACCCTAAAGAGAGGACAGCTATGTTTGAGGAAATCAGCAGGTGGGATGATGTGTAGATCATCATTGGATACATCTCGGCAAATGCTGGAAAACGTGATCAAAAACTCAATATTAGGCCACACCAATTTAATTTCTTGGTTAACGGATTCGCCCGCTTCATTTTTTTCTGATTTGCAAATAAAAATAAAAATTCAGAATCAACTGCAAAATGCTCATATTTTGCCCTGAACAGTTGAAAACAGTCCTTTTCATCCTAGTTGTTACAGTTATTCCATCTTTCAATGCAAAGGTATCATTAAAAGTTCAAAATTCATTGTGTGTTGACTTCATGGCTCCTATTGTACCATTTTGGGCCATAATAGGATGCCTAGGCCTGTTTTTATTTTTATTTTTTTTTTCGCCCGCCCGCTCCATTATTTTTCTAGAAAAATCCGTTAACCAAGAAATTAAATTGTTGTGGCCTTACCTGCACCAAACAAATTACAAATTGTTTTTTGCTCCATTTCTTCTTCTCCAAGCACATAGGTCAATGACCTGGACCAGATTTCTATGTATAAGCCATGGTAACTGATACTGTAGCAGACAGACTGTGGTGTTGGGTTACATTATGTAGCAAGTGGTAGGAGTAGGACAGATTGGTGGGGCTGGTCACCATATATATGGATGGGCACCATATATATGACAGTAAGAATAACAGCAGTAGTTTGTTAGGCTAAGCCATGTGAAGTAAACATTATGCATTTTCTTTGCAAAGGTTAGCTTTCTAGACTTGTTGCCATCTCAAATCCTGTGTTATGTGCTGTGGATGTTTGATTAATTTTATCCATGGCAGGTCTGGAGAGCTTGCTGAAGAGTACGCCAAGAAGCGTGCAGAGATGTTGAAGGCTGAGGAAGACACCTCCTTCAGCTACCAGAAGAAGAAGGGCATTGCGGCTGAGAAGAAGGAAGCCAAGCAGGAGAAAGATGAGGCAGAGAAGTACCAGCGACTCAAGGATGACTTGGTAAGGAAGTGACATATTAATAGGAAGTGATTGACATTAAATTTTTCCAGCATTTAAAACTCTATAATCCTCCTTAGTCAGTGCCAATAGATTAATATTGCAAATCGAAATATCGATAATCGAAAAAATTAGAAATGCTCACTAGGCTGTTTTGAGCATTGATACCCCCTTTCTTTTTGGAAAGAACCCTGTAACCCTTCGTAAATCTTTGAAGAAAAAAAATTGACCTAAGAATGAAAGTATAAATGAACAAGTACAGAACATAACTATAAAATTTGTCCCTCAAAAATCAGGAAATAATGTCTCTGGTATGAGTTTGAAATTTTTTCAGAGAATGCGACCCCCTACTGTACTGTAGTGACATCTTTTGTACCTGGTGCACTGCAGAAAGTTGTCCTCCTTCTTTACGCTGTGAAAAAATTCTGGTGTGAATTCTGTAATTTCTGATGTGTTAGGACACCACAAGACCAAAGAAGGAATGTCTGTACACTCAGAAAGCACAGTTTTTAACTTCTGTTTCTCTGTGTTTAGGTGAGAGCCCAGCTCCAGCTGAAGCTGTTCAAGCTGTACCACAACGAGCAGGAGATAAAGATCCACCGAAGGGAGCTGGACGCCAAGACGGGAGAAGTGGACAACCTCCTGGCTCACAGGGACAGCATCGAGGAAACCATCAAGACCAAGAAAAAGGAACATGGCAAGATGGGACGGGACATGGCAGTCATCGAGAAGAACATCAGGGAGAAGGTAGAATGGTGTTCCTTATTGTTTTGCTCTTACTACTAGTAGTCTTATTGTAATACATCATCATAAGCCAGAATGGTGTTCATTGTTTTGAACTTATTTCCACATAAGTCTGTGTTTTCTACAGAGCTAAAAAAGCTACCAAGTGTTTTATTTTGTTGAAACTGTTATTTATGTTTAAGAATTACCTGTAGTATTGGTGAGCATTTAATATTCAGGTTTGCTTGGAAGTTTGTTGGTAGAAGTCATTCTAAAACACATTTGAACTGTAATTTTCAGAATTATTTGGAAGATGTTGCATTAGCTGAGATATGATATGATAAGGGGAGGTAAGTGACAGTGAAATTAATATGCATATGGTTGTTTCTCCCACCCAGGAAGTGGAGTTGAACAAGAAGAGACCACAGTATATCAAAGCTAAGGAGAACACAGCCCACATGATGCAGAAACTGGCTGCAGCAGAGTAAGTACATGTACAATGCTTTCAAGCTTATGATGTAACCCTGAAAACCGTGAATATAAAAGTCCCGCAAAAAATTGTGATTTACAGTATTCTCTCCACTTAACATTTTCCCTAAACATTCCTGTTGTCACTTGACGTCACACAGAAAGTCCCAGAAGAATGCCAAGAAGGCTCATGAGAAGCACTTGAAGGAGATCAAGGACCTGGAGCGAGAGATTGATGAGGTGGAGCGCCGACGGAAGGAGTTTGAAGCTAAGATAGAAGAGGAGAGTCAGAGCCAAGGACGAGATATCCAGCTTGAACAGGAACAGGTTGGTTAATACCAGGTTTTTGCTGTATTGACAATCCATGTGTACTTGTTTTAAAGGCATCTAGTGCAATTTCAGGGCATCAAGACGAAAGATAGATGAGGAAATCTTTCTGATAATGATATTGACATTAACTGTCATTTTTCATCATTCACTCTTAGCGTTTGAAATAGCCCATAAATAACCTACATGAGGAGTCTCTTTCTTTTTTTTGTACCACCAATAAACAGCTAGAACCAGTCTACGATACAAAGCAGGCAGCTGCTATCTGTCAGCGACATTGCGTTTTGGACTCACAGATATCAGTAAACTACGTGATAGGATTGAATTAACGTCCTTCATAAAAAAAGAACAACAGTAAATTGACTTTGAAAATCCAGTTTTATTGCCCTTGAATTGCTTTGGGTGCCTTTTAGTAAATAGATATCTGACTGGCTGAAGTTCCTTTGGTCATGTCATAGCACTCAGGCCTCAGAAAAAATGTTGTGTTTATTGTTTCAGTCCTGAAAAAAAGTTAAGGTCGGTAGATAGGGAAAATTGATTGTACAATGTTGGTGTGGAGCTAGGAAAGGTCGATCAGCTGGAAAAAATTTATGTCCCTTGCAGGGGTCTACACACAAAAATGGCTAGGGTTGGCAGTTTTTTCTAGGGTTGGTCAGAAAACATTTTTTCCTAGGCCTAAATCTAAATGCTATCTACCACCCCCAGGTGAAAGAGTATAATCGACTGAAGGAAGAGGCAGGGAAGAGGGCAGCGCAGCACTCAGCCGAACTGGACGGCGTGAACAGGCTTCAGCGGACAGACCAGGACCGCTACGACAACGAGATGAGGAAGAAAAATGAGGTGCAGGCCCGGATCAAGCAGAAAGAACACGAGATGGAGGAGAACAAGAAACGTCTGGACAAACTTGAAGAGTACATCAAGTAAGTAAATTAGAGATACAGATTTCATGTCTAACCGAAGATGAACTAAGAAATGAAAGTAGGACATTTGTTTGCATAATAGCCATTGTTGCTAGAGTTATCATGATTCTTTTCCTGCCAGATATTGGAGGTACTTTGGCTTGCTAACTTTAATGCTTTACTCTATTCCTTTTTTCTTTCTTGGCTGAAAAGTTTAAAATTTATGAATAAACAAGGTATTGACCATTATTCTTTGCTTTGCTCTACATGGTGCTCAATACAGTTTTTGAGCTTGAAAACCAAAGTTTGACCTCATCAAAATCTTGCATGCATCCGTTGGGAAGGCAGGCATTTTTAATCGTTGACAATGAAGAAACTTGAGGCATACAAATACTATAACAAAATGAAGTTCCTTATCATGAAACACGACTGTTGTGTTGTGCAGGAAGAGCCAGGCATCGGTGGAAGAGCAGAAGGAGCAGCGTGCTCGTCTGGAAAAGGATGTCGATGTCGCCAAGGGCCGCATCTCGTACATCAACAGGGAACTGGAGTCCATCGTAGGGGAGCTGGGCGAGGCTAAGGTACGGTAAAAGAAATTGAAAAAAATTTGGAGGCAATGAGTTTTGCTAAAGAAGATAAGGTCTATATAGAGCAGAATTTGAAACAGTAGAAATGTAGAGTTTCACCATATTATCATTATGGAATGCAGGACATGATATTCTTCAAACTACTGTGGTTACAAATATACATTGTATTGTGTATTAGGTTTAAAATACCCCCTGCATTTGCAATGTTCAATGTTACCTTCGCCAGGAACAGTGTTTCATGCCTTGGTGTGAGAAGGACATCTTGTTAGGAACTTTGATAAAGGTAAAGTCACTTACACACTGTGTTGATGACCCTTCTGTAGGTTGACCGTCAGGAGAGTGCCCGCAGTGCGAAGAAACAGGAGCTTATGGAGAATCTCAAGCGGCTCTTCCCAGGAGTGGTGAGTTATCAGGGATTTTTTGTCATACATGACCAAGATATGATTTTTGGTAAGCTATGGTTATTAAATAATGACCCCAAGTCCTACATACACAACACAAAGCAATGTTCAAAACAGAAAGGCAAAGCATAATGTATGCCATCACATTGTCTGGCTACTTCTCTATTAATTCTTCCTCAAAACATATTAATATATGTAGTAACCAGCCTCTCCAACTCCTGCAAGTTGCAACATAATGTAACCCAATACTACAGGGTGTCTGCTACAGCACCAGTTACCATGGTGAAAGACATCTGGTCCAGGTCATTGACATTTAACTCGACCTTGTTTGAAAGTCACCACATATCTGAACAAAAGACAAGACTATATAAAGACTGATTGATTATGTGTTTGGTAAAGAAGAAACAAAGCAAAAAAAATAACATTTCCATTTTGTGAAGGAAAACATGAAAATGATGTAGATGCTGGCCCGGAAGTAAATCCGTATCCCCCATGTTGTGTGTCCTCTCTAGTATGGCCGTCTGATAGATCTCTGTGAGCCGACCCATCGCAAGTACCAGATCGCCATCACCAAGGTGATGGGAAAGAACATGGACGCCATCGTGGTGGACGCGGAGAAGACGGCGCGTGATTGTATCCAGTACATGAAGGAACAGCGCTCAGAACCGGAGACGTTCCTCCCGCTGGATTACATCGAAGTTCGAGGGACCAATGAAAAGCTTCGGTAAGTTTCTAAATAGTACTGGCACTAGCTATACTCAGTACACACAGGACTCAAAATACCATCTGAAGATGCAGGTTAGAGCAGGTTAAATTGGAGCTGTGCAGGTATTTCTGATGTCTACCTGCACCTAACCTGCACTTGTCCATGTACTGGGTATATTTAGGTTAGTGCAGGTAAAATTGGAGCTGTGCAGGTATTTCTGATGTCCACCCGCAATTATCCTGCACCAGTCCATGTACTGTGTTCCATATACAACTGTAGGTGTTTGTGTATTTTCGTAAGCTCAGCTGTATTTCCTGTTGTCAACTATGGAGCGTAAAAGAAGTAATGGCATTGGATTTTGAACAATTTTAGTATGATGCATTTAGGCAGAAAAAAAAGCATTTCAGAAAGTACAGATACTGTAGTGCTTTTGCCTTACAGTAATAAATAGTGTGGTTCTATAGAAGCCCAAGAAAATGATATCATTTGCAAGGAACCAACCGTTCTTTCAAATTTGTTACCTGTTAGTACTATGTGGTGTCTTGACTGTTTTTCCTGTGTGTTTCCCAGGGAAATCCGTAGCCCCCACGGCGTGAAGCTGGTAATCGATGTGATCCGGTACGAGCCGGCCTCCGTGAAGAAGGCGCTCCAGTTCGCCTGTGGCAACTCCCTGGTGTGTGAGTCACCTGATGACGCCAAGAAGGTCGCCTTCGAAATGGGGGAGAGACACAAGGTACTTAGCTAGAATAACAGAGGATAAACTGGATAGTAAGTGTGTTATGGTCTACAGTACAGAGTACAGAGGTTTAGAACAAACAGGACCTGTACATATGTACCTACCAGAACAATTTGACAAATTAACATGTTCTTCTGAACATCTTCGGTAAAGAGAGAAACAGTAATTAACTTGACCGAATTCAAATAAAACAGGATAGAACTAGAAAGGCTGACATTTGCTCAGGAGCAAATACAACATATTTCAGTCCATCTCCATCCCCATAAAATGGACTGTTGCAGACTCACACCTGTAAACTCACTCGCAAAAGTAGAACATTCCAAAATAACTTATGCCATCTGTATTACTATTTGAAGCTCCACGTTCTAAAATATAATGACTATTTCTTGTGTCTGTTAGGCTGTGTCCCTGGATGGAACAATGTTTCAGAAGTCTGGTGTCATCTCAGGAGGAGCCACGTGAGTTTTCTTTATCCATTGTAATTTCTCGAACTTTTCCAGTGGACAACTTATGCCATCACTGAATTGTAGTCAATTTACAGTTTTTCACACTGACATATTATATTGCACATAATTTTGTTTAGTTCTATAATTGACAAAACTTAAAATGATTACAAAGAAATTTAGTACTACTTGTAGAACTACAATTACAATTACAGCATTTAAAAATAAATGTATTCAAAGTTATTCTGTTCATCATTGTTTAAAATCGATAACTTCTATACATGTTTAAACAGATTAAAAGTTATTACATTTCATCATGTCAATCTCAATGAATTTCCAACAATCCAAACATTGAATGCAGACGGCCAAGGAGGAATAATGACCGTGTTCAGTCAACAAGGTACACATATATGGGATAGGCAAATAGGTTTGTTCTAGCCCGTGGGCAGTTCAGTTTCTGAGAGTTTTCTGGTTATGCGACCTGAGACTTGAATTCTTGAAGGAGGTAGCCAGTTGCTATGAATTGAATAATGTCCTAGCGAATTTCAGGCATAAGGCCACACTGACTTAATTTTATGGATGACATCCTCTGAAGACCCCCAAACTAGTGCGCGTGAATAAAATACAAATCCGGCCCAAAATAAAAATGCTACTAAACCACAGAAATACAAAGCTGGTATTGTGAATTTGCGGCATATACGACAAGCCGGCACATGCTGGCTTTTGGCGGAATTCGGAATCGGCACTGGGTGCCTGGCTCCATATTGTCGCTAACTACCATGGACTACCCAGGCCTAAAGTCAGGCCAGAACCTCGGTGGACATGATCTTTTTTTTTTTTGAGAACAGGCGAAAATCAATGCGTGTGCGGATGGCATCCATGAAATTAAGGCAGTGTGGCCTAACTGCTGTCTAAAGTGATAACTCTAATAGCAAGGGCTATTTCTGGATTAAAAATATTTTCACATTCCTCATGTAAGATGTTTTGCCTTTATAATGTGTTTAATGTAAATGTGCTTTCATAATTCTTAAAGTGACCTGAAAGCAAAGGCACGCCGCTGGGACGACAAGCGACTGGATACGCTGAAGGTCCGCAAAGACGAGCTGACGTCAGAGCTGAAGGAACAGCTCAAGAACAAACGGAAGGAGTCCGAGCTCAACACCATCAAATCACAGATCAACGGGCTGGAAACACGCCTTAAGTACTCACAGACGGACTACAACACCACGGTAAACTGGCTTCTGCTCAAACTATTATATGCACTATACTTGGTGGTATTCGTAAAGATGTCAAAAGTTATCTTGACTTGCTACTGCATTGTCTTTAAGGTTTCAAAATGCATTTTAAGGGCGACAAAACAAACAATATCCTGGATGAAAAAATCTGTCTGATAATGACATTTATGGCCATTTCCCTTATGTTTCAAACTGGAAGCACTTGAAATAGCCCAAAAACAAGCTACGTTAGGAGTTTTACCACCACCAAATAGCAAGAACCAGCCTTCCATACGAAACAAGCAACCATTTTCCATCAGTGATGTCACACTTTTGCCTCACAGATATCAGTATTCTAGGGTTGATTCAACTTAGTACAGTTTGTATTAAATCCAATGATCTTCCTTTGCAGCGAGACCGTCACTTGAAGAAGAACGAGGAAGACCACCAGAAGTTCAGTCATGAACTTGAGCTGTTTGACGTATGTTCTTGACTTTTTACATGAAGTTCCAAAGATACGTTTTGCTGAATGCATGTTCTATGATACGGTAGAATTACTTTAGTCTTCCTTTGTTTCAAAAGAAAACCTGTCTGTGCAGGTACATGTAAATTGTACATGTAGTTTTCAATGTTACCTGCACCAGTGCAGGTATGCAGAAAAAGTAGTTAGAGCCCTGGAAGTGTGCCATGCATCCAGAGTTGCCTAACTGTGTGTCCCCCTGTGTTCCACAGCCACGGTTACAGGAGATAGAGAACAGGATGACAGAACGTGCCAAACACATCCAGGCACTGAAGGAGAAGATGAACCGTGTGGAGGATGAGGTCTTTGCAGACTTCTGTCAAAGCATCAACGTTGAAAACATAAGGTATTACTAAGTATAACACAGGTTTTACCTAAGTAAACGTACAATGTTAATGACTGAATGAAGTTGAATGTATGGATTTACAAGGTCTGACTTGACTTGTTCCAGAAATCCCAAAATATGGGAATTAGCACAAACTTGACTCTTCATTCTCTGCAAGACTTTTCCTTCTATATGGGTTTGTCCTAGGCTACCTTCTTTACTGATTCACATTTTGATAAGTGTTTTGGGTCAACATATATACCTTTGTTACTTTTCCAACATTGCTAGGTCTCCAATTTAAGCCCTAAGGCTGTGTTAGATATTTTTGAGCCATCCCTTTTTGGTAGTATGTGGCTAAGCTCAAACTTTAAGGAATGAAAAATTAAAAGCGGTAGTAGCAATGAGAACATGAATTTTAAAGTCGAGAGACCATTGTAACCTTTATCTTTTCTCTACATAGACAATATGAAGAACGCGAACTTCGCGTACAACAAGAGCGCACCAAGAAGCGACTGGAGTTTGAGAACCAGAAGTCCCGCTTGTCCAACCAACTGGACTATGAGAAATCTCGTGACACCGAGGCGAGCGTGAAACGGTATGAGAAGGAAGTGAAGAAAGATCAGACCGACTTGGAGAAACTCAAGGCAGAGGAGACCAAGCATATGAAGGTAAGGCAGTGTTTGATATGTTGGGGGGACATTTAGGATACAGGGCTTAAAATACTACCTGCATATGCAGATTTGTGTTAGTAGAATTGGGACTGTTCAGATATTTCTCAGGTCTAGGAAAAAAATATTGTGTTTCCTGTTTCCTGACCGACCCTAGAAAAATCTGCCGACCCTAGACTTTTTTTGGGGTGGACCCCCGCTTTTTCAAGCTGATCAACCTTTTCTAGCTCCCTGATCCGACACCTGAGTGATAAAGCGTTGTACAATTGGTTTTCTAACGTTGACATTGAAAATAAAAGTGTCCTCACGCAAGTTTTACTTTGTTAAACTGTATTGTGTAAGATGGACCCCTATATAGATAATCTTTACTTAATGACTCTAATTTTTTCAGCACTAAAACAGGAAACAACATTTTTTTTCCTAGGCCTGATGTCTGCCTGACTAGTCTGTGTACTGTGTTTATAGGTGTATGTGGATTTTTATTTGCTGTCTTGACTGTTGCCATCTATGAAGCAAAAAAGAAATACATTGTAACTGCAACGGTTTCTCAATACTCTTGGTATGATCCTAAATTCTGAGTAGTGTAGGTAAAATTTGTCTGGTGCAGGAAAATTTTCCGTGTTGCACCAGTACAGGTATACAGAATAAGAGATTTCTTGAAGTAGAAGGCTGTTAAAGCCTTGGGCCATTTGGGTTTCTATCTCACCCAAAGAGGAAATGTATCTAGAACAACTTGAATCTTCACCCAGGTGATAGACAATGAACAGAAGAACTTGGAAGACTTGAAGAACTCTCGGCTGCTGAAGAAGACGATGATGGATGATAAGAACACGGAGATTGAGTCTATCCGTAAGGACATGGCCGTGGTGCAGAAGGACATCAACCACACCCAGAAACAGGTCACCGCCCTGGAGACCAAACTGGAGCAGAAACGGGCAGACAGACACAGTCTGCTCAAGTCATGCAAGGTGGGTGGAAACTAAACAGTCAGGATGAATCTAACCATTGGAAAATAGATAGATAACTTTCTGTTCTGATGTTGTCACATCAGAAATCACATCTGTTCTGATGTTGTCACATCATTAAATTTTGTAGTTTGGTCACATCACAATTGTATTCAGAAGCCTGTCAGCCTGTGTGAAACCTGTAATTTACTGTGAATTGCACTTTGGCAGAAGGTCTTGTTTCTTTTTCTTTTGTGTATTTAACTTAAGGATGTCATCCCCACATTGTTTTTCAATTGTCCCCTTGTCATGTCAGAAAATATATTGATTGCAACTGGCAAAACTCTGCTGCAATTTCCAACGAAAACTGATAAATCTGTATTTAACACAGGCCCAATATGTTGTGCTGATATGCTGTATTCAGAAAGACTTCTATGTTATGTTCTCACTAACCCACTTTGTTGTATCTAAAGCATTTTCTTGTATCTGATAAGTTAAAATTAAAACTTTGTTGATGGTAATAATCATTCATCTGTTCACTGATCCATGTTGTTCACTACCCCAGATGGATGACATCAAGTTGCCCATGAAGAAAGGATCTATGGAGGACATCACCGAGGCTGGTGAGATCTCTGGTAGCCAGGGGGAGTCTGAGTCAGGTGTGGACAGTGGCAGCACCCAGGGGGCCAAGCAGATCTACGAACGCGAGGCTCAGATTGAGATCAACTACCGTGAACTCAGCAGGGATCTCAAAGATGTAGGTCGTCTTAGGTTTTATAATGTCTTGAGAATTGTTGCACATTTCTTGAAAGATAATTGCGTTGCTGTATTGTGCTTCGCATAGCTGAAAAAAAGTTCTTGGTTATAGAAATACGAGTACCACATAAAATGTTTATTTGGTCACATGAGTGTTCTAGCAAGCTTGAATTTTTTTTCTGTCATTGCAATTTTATTTGACGTAACATAATTTTGAATGCCAGGGGTTCCAAGGGCATGCTTTTCTATGGAAGTTTTGAAATCTTGACCCTCTGAATTGCTATTTCTTCCATTTTGAGGGACAAATTTTGCTGGTAGACTGAGCTTAGTTTAATGACATTTCATTCCATATCTTTACACACTGTTTTTTGTCTGTCAAAGATGGCGGATTGGGCAAAATTTTTATGTCATGAGTGGCAAGATTCTATCAAATGACGGAAAGACTGGCTAAAACTGCTTCACATTCACAAGTTGAACATTTCTCAAACTGTCTGGGATGAAATAAACTATGATATGTTTCCTGATGTAATGAATGAATAACTGTGTGCCCACAGCTGGACACGACAGATGAGGTCCGCACCATGAGTGACAAACTTGCCTCCGAGGTCGTCAACATGCAGTCCAACCTGCAGCGGATATCTGCACCTAACATGAAGGCCATGGAAAAGTAGGTGTCTTCAAACATATTCTCCTAATTCTAGTCTTTGTATACCCACAGTGGGGCTCAAAACACTGGGTGAGTGCACCCAAATTTGGAGCTGTGCACCCAAATACTTTTGCAGGTTTACGTATGTAAATATGTTAAATGTAGTATACAGCATTATTCTTTTACCATCTACAGTGGTCGAAATACTTTTTTTCAGTGCTCTGCAATATTGCAGAAGAGTCTAAATTTCGTCCTGCAATTTGGAAATACTTTCTGCAAATACACAAGCCCCCATATTACAACCTTCTGAAACCAATGCCTATTTTTACATCATATATATATAACGGTATAGCTTTGTAAATCTGTAGCATTACTAAAATTCTTCAAAATATCACTCTTTTAAATATGTTCGGACCGTAAAATTTTATCGGTCCGGTCCAAAAAAACCGAAACGTCGGTGGACCGGTTTTTTTGACCGGAACAAAAATCCATATTTGTTGTTACTGAATCACTACGTACAAAGAAGCCTGCCAGGAAAATGAAAATCCAACCTTAAAATAAAAGAAGTTTACCTTAGTCTCCGTCTCTCTCATTTTGCAGCAATATTTTCCCGTATTTTGGTACCGATAGTCATCTAGAAATCATAAAGGACAAGTCTACGGGCCGTGCTTGGTTCGGATCGAGCCGAAAATCACTGATTTTACACCATATGGTCACAATGTGATGCACGTAAATTTTCACTCGAAATGAGAAATTACCGCCCAACAAAACGGACCATTAGGTTCCCAGTGCTGTATTTCTCTTTTGTTCATGTGATCAACTTGTTTTCTTTGCTTAAATCGTGCAAAATACCAAGGAAAAACATCGAAATTTCGGCAAATTAACGCCGAGGCGAGTGTGGTTTTTCGGAGGAGCCATGTTTCCTTTGCCGTGTTGCCTGCTGGGAAATGCTCAGCGAAAATTGCCGAGGCAGTTGTCGGGTCCTCCCGGGAGACGAAATCTAACATCGGAAAATGGCGAGTGCCCATATTTGGTTATCGTCGCCTTTCGTCGCCTTGTCGAAATCGTTCAACTTTGACCCCTAATTCCCTTATATGGGAACATTACAGTCTGCTGGAAAACGCCGGCAGGTTCGTGCGGCGCAGGTTTTCGATCTATTCACAGCGCCACTGCTTTGCTAATTGAAAACTATTGAATCCGGAGCCTATTTTTTCCTTCTGCAAAATTGCAGATTGTAAGATTTTTTCTTCTGCAATCTTGAAAATCTATCTGCAAATTGCAGACTGCAGACGGGTATTTCGAACACTGATCTAAGTGTCAGAAAAAAAAAGATCAATCTTGTAGTTACTGTACTTTTATTTAGAAGTGAAACATGATTAGTTGTTTTATTGACATTCTTCTTACTACAATGTAGTATTTTGTTTTATATGGTGCACCCCCAAATTTTTTTGTGCAGCCAATTTTTTAGCTTGGGTGCTCCAGTGTGCCTATTCCCAAAAAATGAATTTTGAGCCCTGCACATGTATGCACTGTCTAATGAAGTACATTTTGGGAAATTCACAGCAGAAAGTTTCATTGAGGTTATAGCCCTTACAGTCTAATCTCAAGGTTGACATCTTGAACAGGTTATAGTTACCTGTTATGTCAATCCTTCCACAAATTTGGTAAATCTCAATAAATAAAGGAATACATGTATTCCATCTTACCAGGTTGGATGCAGCCCAAGAACGTCTTCAAGAAACAGCTAACCAGTTTGAGGAAGCACGCCGCCGCGCCAAGAAGGCCAAGCAGAACTTCGAGATGGTTCGCAAAGACAGATTCGACAGATTCAACAATATGTTCGAGCACGTGTCTACACGGATCGATGAAATATACAAAGTAAGCAACACGATCTGACCTCATGTTAACCTATAAATATTGGGAAAGGAAGGAGGACATTTTTTGTTATACACTTCAAGATTATAGTATCCACCTTATCTGTGCATTTACCTCATGCAGTATTTCCTATGCAAATTGCTAGGTGGCGCTGATGTACAAAGCTTATTCACAAAGCATTCTGGACCTTACATTGCAGAACCTTTACCATCGTGGCCATTCTTATTGTGCAAATGTGACAGGTGGTTTGATTTTGGAGCTCCTCCAATTTTTTACTTCTCTCACCAGTACCATGTGGGTATTTGTCTGAAATGTATTTTTTTTTGTTTTTCCCAAAGCAACTGTCGAGAAACCACAGCGCCCAGGCATTCCTGGGCCCGGAGAATCCCGAGGAACCTTACCTGGACGGCATCAACTACAACTGTGTGGCCCCAGGGAAACGGTTCAGACCCATGGACAACCTGTCCGGAGGGGAAAAAACTGTAGCAGCTCTGGCACTGCTCTTCTCCATACACAGGTAAGGACAAAACTGTAGCAGCTCTGGCACTGCTCTTCTCCATACACAGGTAAGGACAAAACTGTAGCAGCTCTGGCACTGCTCTTCTCCATACACAGGTAAGGACAAAACTGTAGCAGCTCTGGCACTGCTCTTCTCTATACACAGGTAAGGACAAAACTGTAGCAGCTCTGGCACTGCTCTTCTCCATACACAGGTAAGGACAAAACTATAGCAGCTCTGGCACTGCTCTTCTCCATACACAGGTAAGGACAATAGGGGAAAAATAGAGAAATAACTGACTGTTCTGTTCTTATGTTGTCAGAACATGTAAGCATGCATTTGCAGTTTGGGCACTTTGTATTTAGAAGCCGGTTGGCAAAACGTTACTTATTGTGCATAGCATTTAGATAGAATGTCTTGTTTAGGGTCGTATTTGCGTACTTAAGGATGACATCTCCTCTGTAGTTTTCAAATGTTCTGTCAGAATAAGATATCTATGGTTATAGTATCACGAAATACAAATATTAATTTCAATGTTTGTTCTGTCCCAGTTACCAGCCGGCTCCATTCTTTGTGCTGGATGAGATTGATGCAGCACTGGACAACACCAACATTGGGAAGGTGGGCTACAATATCATGTCCTTATTTTTGCATGAAATAACAGGTTGCATTAGGATATTTGGTTGTAAGTTGTTGATTTGTCTGTGTGAAATGCCAGGTTATATACAAGATATTAGGTTGTGAGTAGTACATTGTTGCTTTCTGTGTATGTGTAGGTTGCCCAGTACATCAAGGAGCAGTCTGAGGGCAGCTTCCAGTGCATTGTCATCTCCTTAAAGGAGGAGTTCTACAACCGGGCAGATGCACTCGTCGGGATTTATCCTGAGGTAACGTTACATATCCTCATTACATATCAAATGTCTCCGATATTTCCTGCACTTTGAGAGGTAGATTTTGCTGGTAGACTTAAGCTTTTTATACATTTACACACCAATTTTTTTCTGTCAAAGATGATGGATTTGTCAGAATTTTAGTCTATCCTGATCTCTCAAATGATGCAAAGACAAATCCTGGCTAGAACACTGTACCTTTGCAGTTTCACCACACAACCCTCTAATTTAGCTCTGTACATTTTCAAAGTCCTATTTCCTGACTGAAAAAGATTGCTGACTGAATATTTTATTGCTGCAGCAAGGAGACTGTACCATCAGCAACACCCTGACCCTTGACCTGACCAAGTATCAGGACAGCACCAAGGGACAGGGCAGCCCCAGCAAGCGGTGAACTCGAGTATAACCCTTGACCTGACCTGGCAGTGGCGCTTTGACCCCCGACCTTTGACCAGCTCCATGAAGCTAAGCCCACGTTCAGTTGTTCCATATTGTGTCGTGATCATCTGTTGATGACAGTGAACTTTATTTAGCTAATGTAGTGACGACATAGCTCAGCGTTAGTCCTGCCAAGAAAGAAAAGTTGCACTCTTGTAACATCAAGCTGGAAAATCATCACCAAAAAAGAAGTGGAGGAGATGAAACCATAACTGCAGGACTCGAAATACTTTTTCTGCATACCTGCACTGCTGTAGGTAACATTGGAAATGCACCAGACAATTTTTACTTGCACCACTCAGAATCTAGGAAGTACAGACGATAAAACTATTCAGAAACCTTTGCCATTATTTCTTTCACGTGGTAACGGTCAATGCAGCAAATCGAAATCCATATACATGTCCATGTATATGGACCAGTGCATGTCAGGTGCACTAACCTGCATATGCAAGATGGTATTTCGAGCCCATACGGTCAGAATTTCAACAATGGATTTGGGTTGAAGTCAGCACTGCCAATGCAGAAATACATACATGTACGGGCATTTACCATCAAAGAGATCAACAGAAGTTTGGTAATGGTTACAGTGCAAAGACTTCCATTGTGCAATGTAGCTCCAGCTGAAATGACTACAAGAATTGGTTCGGCCATTCTACAGTTGGTCACGGTAGACATTCCAAACAGTAGTGGTGGTGTTGTCAAACAACAAGCTGACTTTTTAGTTCTGAAAAAGTATTTGTTAAATGTTCATCTCCCAATCACGACAGAAACTTCATCTATGGAAAAGGTTTGAAGTAGGAAAAATCAAAGTTCTTAACATATCACAAAATACTTTCTCCGTTCTAGTAATGGCAACGATGTTTTCAAGAGTTAACATGCATAATTTTACATTCTACAATTATTTTACCCACTTAAGGTCAATTTGGGAACTGAGCTAGCTCTAATTCATTTATCAGTTAGTATGATTTAGCAGGATCATAGTGAAATTGATTAATAGTTTAGTTGAACCTTTTTAGATATGTATGATATTATATCAGGTTATTATCGTTTGACCAGAGGAAAAGATTTACCAGTTGTATTTTCTCATCCTTCAACAATAAATGTGTTGACATATTTCTGCTGTTGTCTGTCTGTCTGTATATTGTAATTGAATTAAGGGGAATGTGCTTTCACTGCTTGTCTAGATGACCTTGCTAGCAAAAGTTGATAATAATGCCCCCTACCAGCACCCAAAAAAACTGCACCACAGACAGTGCTTGTCTTGAAAGGTTATCAAGGCCTCGCCTACAAAAAAATTAGCCAAAACAGGTGGGGATAGAATGGCCTTGGCATTAAACCGTTCATTGGTCTGTTGATGTTCGTGATGACTTAAACCATATGTTCGACTTTGGAACAACCTTTGACAAAGTGTCCTGGAGTTTATAATGCAGTACATAGAAGATAAAATCTTTTGTCTATTATAGCCAATTGCTTTTTTATTCACGGACATTTGTAGCGGATATATATGGAAACTGTCTCCCACAATTTTTTTTCCAGAAAGGAACATTAAAAAAAAACATAAAGACAACACATTCCTGGCCTCCCCCTCCACCCACACAAATTTTTGAAATGTAACAGAACTGTGTTTGCTGGTACATGTAGGTGAGAGGTGGCCCTTAAACAATGTGCCCTCCAGCCTAATGTAAAGTATGTTGGGAAAGGGGCTATCAGATTGTCCATTTGTTAGCTCTTTACTCCAGGAATCCTCTGAAGTATTCCGAAAATCACTGCACTGCCAAACGGAGACTGAATAATGCCCCGCGGACTGACATTTGGGGTCAGAGGTGAAGAAAGGTCAAGTTTGGCCATGCCTTCTGTCAATATGTGGTAGATCCAGACCATGTCAGCAAAGGGGCAAATTGTTTCATCTGTCCAAGTCTGCTGGGGCAAAATCTGGAAGCTTTTTATGCCTTTTGTATCTTCTTTTTCTTGTTCTTTTGTATACACAGGGTAAGTTTACTGTTGAAATCATGATTTGTGGCAAGAAAATGAAAATGCTCAAGTCAAATGTTACAGAATGTACATGTATTGCTTGCACAAGGAATAAATCCAGTTGCTCTCTGAAAATGTCACAAATCAAAGAATTATTATTAGAGCCTCATCTCCAGCCAGAACATAGCCTAGTAATTCAGAGGCACCAGAAGTGTGTATAAATCTTGTAACGTCTTCTAAATGTGTTTTGCATTGGCTACCCTTGTAATGTTCCTCTTGTATACTGAGAAAGACTGGATGTTCTTCTCATGTTTTTCCGGGCACAGGAAAAGACTAATGTTTTTCACAAGTTTTTCCTGGAAACAAGGAAATTCCTGTTCAGTATTACATTTGCGCAGCGGAAGCATCTCAGTAAGGTTGATGCCTTTCTTGGAATTGATACAAACTTTTCGAAACGTAGGGTTATGTAAGGTCTTTTAAACAAGATGCAGATTCTGGGCTATAAAGTTTTGTTGAGTTCCATAAGGGCTGTTTCAAAAAGTTATGTAGGAAATCAGGAATTCGGAAAAAGAAACTCTGAAACCGTGGTACATGGTCTGCAGTTTGAAGACACTACCTTTGCTCCATCCCCCAGACTGAAACATAACAAGCTGCACAGTTTGCAAACAACTCCTCCAACTTACACAGTTCTTGGTTGTTTTATTTGTAGGGACAGTGCTTTTGTTTGTTTGTTTAATCAGGAAGTTTAATCAGCCAGATGCCAAAACCAACAACTTTTGATGCCATACTACTACTAGTACTAGATGTAAGGGTAAGCCAGGAAGGGTCTTCTTGCAAAATCTGAGTGAAGAAAAAGATACAGAGGTAAGAAAAGCCTACTTCATACTGTAGCTTCTCTATAGTCAATTGCACATTTAATTTCAGTCTTTCTTGCTTGATTTTTTTACAGATTTAATTCTCTCATCAAGATATTCTAATATTCTCAAAATGTTTTGAAGCCATCTTGAACTACAGGTCTGGTACAAGGGTACATCTGCTTGCTAAGTGTAATGCTACTTGTCTTTCGTCCCCTCTGAATCTGGCCTGTTCTCTTTGCCAAAATGGTCGCTCTGCTATTTCGACTGTACGTCTCCATAGCTGTAGCCTACAGCAGTGCCTGCTGAACTTCCTTGTTTGTGCAGAAAATCTGCCCGGAGTCTTACCCACCCTCTCCTGGAGGGCTTTGGGGGCATTACCAGGCAGTTTTCCAGATCACCCCTATCACCCCTGCCTGGTGGGTTTATGTAAACAGGCACTGACTACAGCCAATTACAGCACCCAATTAGCAGCCTTGTGGTGTGCCCTTCAGACAGTGAGGAGAACCACATGGTGCCTGGAGGTGACAGCAGCACAAACCCACCAGCTGCCTCTGCACTACAGATCTGCTTGCCGTGCAGATTGACTTGCCACAGGCCAGCCCTCCCCTCCTCCTCAGAATTACCCCGGACCTATCCTTGGAAGTAAGCCGTGTATCAGGATGAAGAGGTTTACAGACTGTGTACTTCTAGTGGCGACACTGTGTTTGCTGGGAAGATGCTCCGGTAAGTACCTCGCCCCCCGATGTGGGTCTTTCTTGTGGTCCCTTTCTGTTTGTACTGCCATTTTCAAGCATTAAACTCTTGCCCTTTTGGACTCAGTCTCGCATGTTGCAAGTCCAAAGCCAACTCCACTTCTTCAAGCAGTTGCCAAGAAATTCCTTAAATGATTTTCATGATACGTCCTTGCCAAAGGCAAGAAAACTCAAGAGACTAGCTACCACCATACTGTTGCAACTTGCAGTGATAATGTGCAAGAATGCACATCTTTGTTTCATAACCGTATAGTTCAAATACACATACCATTGGATGCTATGTATTAGAAACAGGACTTGGGTACATGCTTGGGTAGACTGTTTTCATACCTCCAATTTCAGGCTGTCAGCTTGTATTCTTATCACAGCAGGACTGGTAATCAGAGAAGCTGTCCTGTCAGGGAGTGATGTCTCTGTCAATATTAGTTGTCAAGAAAAATTGAAAATATGGAGCACCTGACATGGGCTATTAAAAAGACATTAGGAAATACATTTTTTATCTCACCACAAAAAAGGCTTTCCTGTTGACAATATTGTGTTGCCACCAGTGCAGAGAAACCATTTTTACACCATTTTGAATTGCTGAGTTATTTCTTTTGCGTAAAAACTAAAAAGAGTGACTATGTGATGAAAACGCTTGTGTGATCAAGGTCACTAAACAATGAGATAAAATGAATTAAGTATGCACTTATGGAACTAAGTTAACATTCTTCAAGTAGCAATATATTCATCTAAGATGTTTGCACAGGTGGATGATAACATTTAAGTAATAGCACATCAAACACGTTGGAGGTAAGTACAATGTACTAGCCTTGTAAACTGCTTTCTTTATTTCAGTCTTGTATGATAGGTATAAGGTTAAAAATTCAGATAAATAATTTTAAGGCCTTACCAGTGCTAAAAAAATGCTATGGTCGGTCAGGAAACTGGAAACACAACCTAATTTTGTTTCCTAGGCCTTACCACTGCCAGACAATGACCAAACTATAGTAGCTATAGTATTATACATGTACTATATGTTTTATCAGGACAATGTGTTTCAGCTCCTGGCCAGCCAACACATAACAGGACTCCTCTGTCATAACATCTCTCATACTTACTTCTCTGTTCTGCTTCCAACCATGTCCACAGGGAAATTACACAAAGTAACCTAAAAACTGCGTGGTGAAAGAAGGGCAGGGTATAGTGCCATGATTCAGGAGCCACAACTCTGTTGAATCAATTATAGTTATACATTCCCGGTTAATGCTCTTGTCAGTGTCAATAACAGGAGACATTGGTGCCAAGGCTGTGCCGGGGGAATCCACTGAGCTAGATTATACCAGCCTAAACCAGATGGAGCCTTCCCAAGTGTATGTTTTAAAACTAAAGGCATCCAATGCATTTTCAGGGTGGCAAAACTTTTTTTCAAAGTGAATTTTCTGGTCATTCGTTCATCTGTTGCTCTAAAATTACATTGGATGCCTTTTGAGAAAAGACATTTTCCAATTGCCCCATTTTTCACTGACAAGCCCTTCCTGGAAAAAACAGTGCAATCGGAAAGTGTTCACTTCTTCACTACCAACATCTGCTCGGAGACCACCATGAAATGTCCAAGGTCACTTGCAGGCCTGTCCTTCTAAAGCTGCATGTCCTCTCGGTCGTACAGGCGGACTAACTTTAGCCTTGACAGGGGGAGGGCTAGTTTTAGATACATAATATACATGTAAAATACTACACGGTATTCGACCAGATGGAGATCTGATCCGCGGGAGGGCTGGGACAGAGGGTGATGCGGAAGACACCGTGTAGTATTTTATTTATGTCCCACCCGAAAAAAAGGACATTTCAATGCAAAATGTGCCAAAATTTGGGGTATCTAACCAAAAAGTGTAATGGCTTCAATTCCAACATCCGAATTCGATGTTCGAAGTTTGAAAGCGGCGTGCGAAATGCCTTCGAATTATTCTATACAACATTTGGAAGCCCGGGCCATACGCGTTAAGAACCCTGGGCAGTACCACTAGTTATCACACGGGCCGGAACACCTGTATCAAACATAATCATGGCCCAGTTATGACATTAACAGGTTTATTAGTCACCATTTGTACATCATGCATTTATCATCTGGACGTCTGGACTGTACTACATGACTTGCAATGATGTTCGCAATTTGCCACAACCAATATAAACTTGTGCATGAAGCGAGCCCACACATTGTTGATCAGGAGTACATGTTTGGTACTGTACATTTCTTCTCACATGTTGTTCTGTGGGGCATCAAGTGTTTTTGTTTTGTAAGCGCTATAGGGCTATCACTGTTGGGTAAGCTGGCTGCTGTGTTTGTATCATTGGGGAAGTGGCAAGAGAGGTTGATAAAGTGTGGGCGTTATCAACTGGAGATAACACAAATAGAAACAACCATCCCCAAGGGCTCCAATCTCTAACTATCCAAAACATTGAGAGTGTGTGAGCATGTAGGCAGAATGTTCTGCCCCTGCAGGAAACCCAGAATGTATTGTGCATAGCACTTTGGAAGAATGTCTCATTTAAGGTCGTATTCGCATACTAGTATTTAAAGATGACATGTTTCAAAGAGGGCCTGCATGCCCTTTTTCGTAAGACGTAATCAGGCCTTTTTAGACTTTGTAATTCGTAGGCAGCCTCCACAAAAATCAACGTAATTCGTAATAGTACATTAGCCGCAAATCGTAAAGCAGTAATCAGCTCTGAGACTTTCACGTAATTCATAATCGGTGGCGAAAATTTTGCGTAATTCGTAATCACTACCCCCCCGTGCAGGCCCTCTTCAAAGCTTGTATAATACATGTACAATGTACTAGTAAACGTGTGGGTGACATCCTGCGGATACAGTTGTTTATGAGGAACTAGATCCTGTGTGTCAGCCCCACTGCTTGACGCTGAAGGCACCTGTGGTCACATCATTGCCATTTCTTGGAAGTTCACCAAGAAATGTAAGGCAAATATTTAGAGGTGGGATGGCTGTCTCCAAGTAATGTGAACTCCAAGTAGTTGAGTGGTTTAAGGTCTAAAACTCGTGCCAATTTTCTTAAGTGAGTCCTGTAAACGAAGGATGGCAAGGCAGTTTTCTTGGCATTTGCTTTTTCGTACTTTGACACCCAGGCTTTATTTTGCTTACGTTGGCTGTGCCTTGAACTGGCACGTGGCCTCATCAATTTTGATACTAAAAGGTCGGCCTGGCCACACCCCTGTCACCTAAGTCATGTTACAGGCTTTGAAGTCACTAGCCATGTAGTAGAGTGTACACCTTGCAGAAGTTACATTCACTAGTGTGTAAATGTCAATTATGGCCTGATAATGTCAGGTTAAACATTGCAAGGGGGTGAGGCGGCATGGGGTAAAGACAGTCATAAGGAAACACATGGTCTGAAAGGTTCTTAATGTTGTATTTGCTTCCATAGTAAAACACTGAACTGCAAAACATTGGAGACCACAATTTATATAATAGATCACAGGTCATGTTACTTCATGATTTTTCTGAACTTTTATGACCCCAAGGATGTGTTAGCGTACAAATTTTACTATCCTGTTGATAACTTGAAAATAGCTGCAACGTTCCCTTATGGGTTTGTATGGTAACATAAAGGCATCCAATGCAATTTCAGGGTGGCCCAAACAAAAAAATATTCTGGATAAGAAAATTTGCCAGGTATTGGCATTTACTGCCATTCCTTAGTACATGTACATTTTCGCCACCATTTTGTGTTTAAAGCATTTAAAATAGCCCAGAAACAAGCTAGTTGTGGAACAGAATCCCTCCATTTTTTGGTACCGCAAACAAATAGTTAGAACTAGCCTGCGATATGAAACAGTTTTCCATAAACGACATCACATTTTTGCCTCAAAGGTATCACGGCTATGGTATGGGATTGATTCAGTATACTACATGATAAAATGATCAGCAAATTGATTTTGAAACTAAAATCCAGTTTCACTTTGGGTACCTTGAAGCTTATCTTTAGACTAAAATTGCTGGCAATGTCAGATATGAGATACTGTGTAAGATTATCACATTGGTAGAGAAATGCTTCTATAGGCATGAGAGAAGTAACCAACAAGCTGGGATTCCAGTACAAGTGTGGAGGTACACTGTGATGTTTCCTCAGCAAACTCATTTAAATTCTCTGTGGCTAACTGACTTTGCCGACTTGTTTGAGCTCCAGATTTGGTTGGCACGAGCAAACCACTCATGTCTCCGCTAAACAAATGGCATGCCCCCTGGTTGTAACAGTTGCATCGGACGTACTGCAAAGAAAAGGATAAGTGTGAAGAGTTACTGTGAAGAAGATATTTGTACACTGACTTGAAATCAACTTTTACTTGAAATCATCATTTCATTACTGAGGGTCTGCATGGGGGAACTTTGGCAACTGTTACACCCTGTCATTACTGAGGGTCTGCATGGGCGAACTTTGGCAACTGTAAATTTAGGAGTGTTGGCAAAACTAGTCCGTGGATGCCGCGTGCTCCATTGTGCTTTTGGGGGTAATCTGGTGTTTGACCCCATGCAAAGAATTTTTAGATAATGCCTAAGAATTCAGCATAAAAAAATATGTGCTATATATGTGGAATTAAGTGACCAATTACGCTTCACAAATAATTTACGGTGACAACAATTAACGTTGAATAACGTTGGCCGGCTACAATTAACAGTGAATTACGTGTCACTGAAAATGGCCCACAGACCCTCATTTTGTCGTTAACCCTTTGGCTGACTTTGCCTGAACTGTCAGCTCAACAGTTAGAAACAGCTTACTCAGCCAAGGTGCCTGATGTTAGAATGCCAGACAAACACTTGCTCTGCATAAGGCCACAGCAAGTAAATTTCATGGATGACATCCTCCGCAGACTCCAAATCTAATGTGATAGGGCTTAAATTTTGAGATCATATACCAACAATTATATAAAGGAATGAAATACAACACTACAACAAGGTAAAAGACAAAACACTAAATCAGAGCCTTGTCTTGTCGCCTCTCTTCACATTTATCCATCATCCAAGTTCCAGGCATGAGAACAGACATATTTACCCTTTTTAGGCATTTGTTGTCCACTGTCACAGGGCAACAAATCTTTTTTTTTCTTCAAAAATCGATGCACGCCGCTGATGTCATCCAAAAAAATTACTTGCTGTGGCCTAAGGTAGAACTTGACCTTCCCATCTCTGTTACTGATTTGCTCAATTTGTTGTTCTTGGAGACTATAAACACAGCCTGGACTGTTTTCCTGTGCTCTTTATCAGAACCTTGTGTTAGGAAACTTGTCCAACCCTGCTCCTGACATGTCGTGATAGCAAGCATGGGAAAACAAGCTACACAGGCTACTACATGTACTTACATGTAGCTGTAGCTATAGTCAGTCACTGACAAAAATAAACATACTCGGTTTATGTGGCAGCAGAGAAAAATTATGTAAAACACAGAAAATTTGATATGTTTCACTCACATCTGACCTAACATGATCTTTAACACTATAACAGCTAAATGAATGTGAATGTCAAACCCAAACAACCGCTTAAATTTCAGTCTTCGTGTACCTTTTTCATTTCCATTCCTGTGAACTGTTCCAACTGTCTTACTGTCAACTGCAACTGTTTTAGACGTTTGTATTGAGGCAGAATTCAGGTAGCCCTTGTACCTCAGATTGAAGATTTAGTAGACAATTTACAAGACATTGATAGACCCATAGCTGCACTGAAATTGCAACCAGATGACCACAAAGTTATTTGTCTCTTGTCCAACTGTGGTGATAATCCCACTAATATATAATGGAGACAGAAAGAACATCTCAATTATCCAATGTGGGAAGTTAGAGATTCTCCTGTCATTATTTGTTATGCTTAATTTTTCATGGCCTTATGATAGCTATGAGTTCCAATTCAGCAGGACTGCATCTGTAACATATTCCTGTCCCTCTCCATTGAGCCCTGAGTGTTTATGTTTGTTGCCATGGCAACTGGTGTTTGGGTGACCCCCCCCTTCCTGGCTTAGTGATGAATGGGCAGTATTTTACCATGTGGTGCCCAGCAGTGTGTCTGATGAATCGTCCCAACGGAATGACTCCTAACCTTGTTCCACATTTTGGAAATCATGACCCCCATTTATTACATGCCGCTTCTCTCTTTCACTAGCCAGTTTTCGTGGTTTTTTATGTGATTTTAACCAAGGTAAGCTAAGAAATGTAAGTTAAGGCTAACAATGAGCTAGCAAATGTAACACAATCTTGCAAGTGCAAATCGAGTAATCAAAAACTGTTGGAAAATCAAGTAAAGATAGGTCAGCTTCTCTAAGATGCATAGTGTCACATGTCTGTGTCACATGCACTTTTCCTTTGGAAATGCAATCTCAGCAAAACTGGAGTTTCAAAGTCAATTCTCAGGACAAGCCTCAGATAAATTTGTTGTACTAAGAATTGGCAGTAATTGTCTAGCCTGATGGTTACCAAACCTACCATGTATAATAGCTCTTGAGTCCTACTGTACATCCTCTCCGCAAATTTGTGGAGAGAATGTAGGACTCGGGAGCTATAATAGGTTTGGTAGAATATTTTTTTTGCTGCCCTGAAATTTATTGGATGCCTTTAATGGTGTCACGTCTCTTCCTCCAGGCCAGTTCTTAGCCTCCATGTCAGAATGCTGTATGAGAGGGTCTGAACTGGCCAAGCAGAACCCTGACCAGGATTGTGCCAACTTTCCCGTCGGACTGTTGAACGTGCGAACTGAGGACAGGGAGAACTGTCGCATCACAGCCAGGGTGTGCTGCCATCGAGAGAGGAGGTGGGTGGAATGTACATTACAGGGCTTTGTATATCTTTTAATTTTTTTGCATACCTTCACAGGTTCAAGTAAAGTTGAAAGTTACCAAACACCACTCAGAATTCATAAGTATAGATCATACTCAGTGGTCTAGTTATGAGTTGCGGATCTACAACAATCAATGGTCTAGTTACAAGACTTAGTCTGCTCACAGATGGGAATACTATTGCAATGTGTGTGTGTGTGTGTGTGTATAGATGAAAACAACAACAGATACAATATATGTCTAACTAAGGCTTATGTTCATTAACCTTATCCCCGGCTGTAACTTGCTCGAAAACCAGCGTGCTAACTACATGTAATTACTCTGAGCTGCTCTCACCAGCTAGACTTCTATTGGCTAATGGTAATGAACATGACTGTAGATGAGCTACTAGATCATCTTTATTATCTGTTCTGTCAGCAATGCTTGTACATGTATGTCATAATTCACAGTTCATGCCTGTTACATGTCTCCTTCCTACAGGTCCCAGCAGTGTTATGATGGCATCATGCACGGGCGGTCTGGAGGAGTCTGCAAGACACGCTTCTCGTTTGACGAGTGCGGAGGAAAGGAGTACAAAGTAATTACACATATTGTATTGTTTCCGCATGATATTTAGACTTTAAAATGGCACATAGTGCTTTTTCTGCTTAAGAGGCCGAATAAATACATGTACAATTAAACGTGTGTAAGACGCCCACTCAGGGGAGTTGTGCATTTGGTTCATTAGCCAGCAGCATGGGTTTGCCGTGGGTTCAAATTCCGGGAATCAGGATTCTGCCCCTTCTGTGTTTCAGTGGGGAGTAGTGTAACGGGTTCAAGTGCCACCAACTGACCAGTCCGAATAGGTGCGGACCTTTTGGCCTTGAATTAGTGTGTTGGGTTCATGAGCCAGTGGCATGGGTTTGGTAGTTTCCATGTGGACCTTTCTCATGTACATGTACCTTGAATGTATCAATACTCGGAAAAAAGGTGGTTGATGACTCCTGTACATGAAAGAAAAGCCAAGGCATTAACCGATGTCATGTATTTTTTTTCCAGAAATGCTGTGAGTGTTGTCAGCTGGGCCTGGTGGCTCATCGCCAGCTGCTGCGCTGTGACATCTCCTCCATTAAGGCGCTCAACCTGGGCTCGTACTGCGCCGAGGCGTACAAGGACTGCTGTCTGAATGGGAAGATCGTTGCCACTACCCGCCCGCCAACCGTCACCTCCGCACCCCTGTCTGGGTCATCAGGTACTGCAGTGGGGCATTGCACATTTATTCATGAAGCGCCACTATATTTGTTAACATTATATTGTAATCAGGTTGAGTTGACCCCAAAGGTCATGACCCTACCAGAGGTCACTCTTTGTCCGCCATTTTAAGTCCCTTGTGAATGTTGTAATAAACGTCTGCTCCGCTTCTCGCACTCACTGTGGTCCTGAGTTGCTGACTGCGCGTTATATAAATGACAAAGCTTTACCACATTGACCTAACAGGTGACTATCACCTCTTTGAGATGTCAAACCTAGGACAAGACTGTAAGGTTTGAACTGGTAAGGAGCCCTGCTATTTTCGTTAGGTGTAGTGGGATTATTAATACAGTCAAGTTGTGGCTGTACCCATTTTTAATTACTCATATCTGATTTATAACAGGCAGTCTCAGTTATCTGTGTAAGAGTTATTCATTCCTATGAAAGTTTCAGCAATGTTATCCCTCTTCGTGTTTCAATTTGGCATTCTTTCTCACCAGGTAGCGGTATGTGTGAGAGGTTTTCAGGACGGCTATGCGAGCACATCTGTATAAATACAGCAGAAGGACACGTGTGCCGCTGCAGGGAGGGCTTCAGACTACAGGCTGATGACAAAACTTGCATAGCAGGTGGGGATAAGCTAGTCTCCACCAGACTCCTTTTGCAGGCTGAATAAATCACCTAAAAAGGGGATATCAATTGGCCAGACGAGTTTCCCGGTCATCAAGGGTCAAATTGGCCGTGCAGGTCCATTGTCTGTTGGAGACTAGGGATAAGCTATATGAATTAAGACTTATTGTTTTAAAAAACGTTTGATCCAACACAAAGAAGTTCTATCACCTAAAGCATTCAACCAGTCAACCTGGTCTTCCTCAGAAAACAAACCCAGTGAGGCTTGTCACATGGCTTCTGAGGAAGACAAGAGTGACTGGTCGAAAGCTCTAAGTAAGAGAACTTACTAAAGTTTTAACTTTAAACATGTAACTACCAACACAGATGAACTTTCATGACTGTATAATTTAACTTTTTTACTTCAATGACAATAATGGTACAAGTAGAAGCTGCCATGATTGTGGTGTTGAGTGGCTAGGCAATTCCTGGCAAGACATCATATCCTTGAGAAAGGTGCTTCTTAAGGCAACTTTCCTCACTCCACCGAGGAGTGTACCAGATTTTAGTTGGGTACATTGGGTACCTGATTTTAGTTGGGGAGGTAAAAGGCAGTGGAAGGAGAGGAATGCGCTCCACCTTCCAATACTGTACCCTATATACTCTCCCTACAGCTGTAGATATTTTGATGTTCTCTGTTGCTCATAATATAAGTTCTTGTCTTGACTTGCAGTTACGAGTGCCACCAGTGGTAGCCAGTGTGAGAACTCGCCCTGCGAGCAGAGGTGTGTGCCCACAGGGACCGGAGTCCAGTGTTCCTGTGAAGTCGGTTACCAACTCAACAGGGATAGAGTTTCCTGTGATGGTGAGTTTAAGCTGCTATACCATTAACACAAGCCACTTGTGAAGTCCATAGAACAGGTTGACCCGTGACTGGGTCCACGTGAGGTCGAGAGTCGTGTCTTCGTGCATCTGATTAAATGATTCAAGCTCTCAATTATCTTCCCACGCATTTTACTTGCAGTTTTATCTCGTTTGTTTCTTGTACAAAAGATGTGTGAATAGTGTTTAAATCACGATTGAAAGTCGCCAAAAAACACAGTTGAGTATGGTTAAAACTCAAGCAAAAACCATTTAAAGCGCATGCACTAATTTGCTGCAATTGCTTGTGACTATCTACTAACGCACAACCAGATGCCACCTGCATTATACATGAGAAATTAACACAAAGTGGCCAGCTTTTGCATGGCTTTTGCACACATTTTGAAACAGAAATGCACTGCTTTCATACAAAATTGCACTACTTTGATATGATCATGATAGCAATTTGCATGCATGCAGATTGTCAATGACATCTGTACTGTAGCTGTCTGAAAATGCATCATGCTTCACCTCATTTGACCATTTCTTTACTTCCCTTGTTTCCCAGATGTGAATGAGTGTGCGCACAACACGGATGACTGCCAGGAGGGCCAGGAGTGCTTCAACACCATGGGCTCCTTCACCTGCCGCCGCCTCTTGGGCTGTGGGACAGGCTACGAGATGAACCCTGCTGGGGAATGTGTCGGTAATTCAACATCTATCAGTAATACTACAGTCAAAGATGTGTCAGATGACCACTCAGGGGACTGAGGAAAAGTGGTCTTCTTAGACAAGTGGTCTTCTTACACAAAAACAATGGCAACAAGAAAACTGCAAAAACAGAAAACAAGGAAAATTTCCACCCATTTTACAACAAACTGCCCCATTGACCCAAACTGACCTGTCCGGCGCCATTTTACATTGCATTAAGACTGTCGTCCTGTCACTGGCAAATGTCTGATTCCGTCAAGATTTCTTGGTAGTTATCACCAAAGAAACGTTTTCTGTCAGACGCGTGAAAATTATGCAGTTGTCATAGGCAGAGATTTGGCCATGTGCGGTCGAAATGTTGTTTATGGTCACATTTAACGCCAGACTGTTGTCATGTCCAGTAGACATGCTATAGCTAGCCCCTTGGTTACATTCTAGACCCTGAGCTCAGGGTCTAACTGAAGGTGTATGTTGCATGGTAAAATTTCCTTGGGGACATGTTGGCCCTGGAGCCAAGGAGCTAGCCGGTAACATTGGCCCTGGCAATAGTCTGGTACCCAGGCTATTGAAGACTCTATTTCACAATTTGTGTGCACTTTTGAATCTCTGCAGACATGGATGAATGTGAACTTGGCGTGGACGAGTGTGAGGCAGGGTTCAAGTGCACCAACCAGCCCGGGTCCTTCCGCTGTGTACCCAGGGTGCAGTGTGGGGTGGGCTACAACTACGACAGGACCGGCAACTGTGTTGGTCAGTTCACACAGACAATATAGGTCCTGATAGTATTTTGAATGATAGTGTGTTTTTTGCAATCATTTGGTGCATGCTGATCATATCAGTCATTGATTTTTAATACATAATGTTAGATAATATTATACACTAAATAGGTAAAAGCAAGTTGGGACCCCTAGTGCTTGAAGTACGTTTACCTTTAAGTTGGCAGAAGGAAAATGTATTGTTTCTGCTGTTTCCTCTTCTTCTCCAAGTAAAAAAGGTCAATGACCAGGACCAGATGGCTATCACCATGGTGACTGGTGCTGTGGCACACGCCCAACCTGCTGTGGTGTTGGATTACATGTGTACATTATGTAGCAAAGTTGCAGGACAGAGTTTGAAGGGGCTGGTCACCATATATATGAAAGTGCATAATGAGTAAGAATAAACAGGGCAGTGGCTTGTTGAGTAACTCTAATGTGAAGGTAAGCATTACGCCTTTGCTTTGCAAATGTTACCTTTTCTAGTTTCTACATGTATCTACAGTCAAAGACATTTACCTATGATCTATGACCTTTCAGACATCAATGAATGTGATGGATCCAGCTGTCCTCGGGGTACCAAGTGCATAAACACAGTCGGCTCCTACAGGTGAGAGAAGGTCACAGAAGTGTAGTAATGGTTAATGTAAATACAGGACTGGTAGATGTAAGCACATGTATCATTTTGTTTTTTTGCTCAGTGCTCAAAACACCACCTGCGTATACAGGTTAATGCATGTAAAATTGGATCTGTGCAGGTATTTCTAATGTCTACCTGATATTGACCTATTTCTAACTTTTCTGTTGCTGCTTTCCCTCTGTAGATGTCAGCGTTTGGTGACCTGTGGACCTGGTTATGAGTTGAATGAGGATGAGAGTAATTGTGAAGGTGAGAGAAAACTGATCACTTCAACAAACATTTAGATTAGACCTTACTAGAGTAGATTAGATTACTAGAATTACCCACATTTTATCTACACATGCAACTATTAGCATGCTCCCATTTTCTGCATATAGAAGGTACTACGGAACCATGAATGACTGTATATACTCTGTGAAGGAGGCCAGTGAGTATTGTCGTTAGTTTTGTTTGTACGTTTGCAGCTATAACTAACTTAAGATACTCCTGTTGTTATTGTTGTGTAGACATTGATGAGTGTGCACGAGGAACCCATGACTGTCAGGGTCTGTCTGAGTGTAAGAACAACAGAGGGTCCTACATCTGTCAGTGTCCTTCTGGCTACACCGCCGACCAGTCAACAAGAACATGCCAAGGTATGTACTGATGACTCAGATTCTATCTTGTATATTTTGCTACTTCTCTGTTTTGCTATATGCATGAAAATATGCTTTGCAGCTGACAATGGTAAACTTTGGCAGCCTGCTGTTACGGATTTAGCTATTGTGCAAACAAAAATGAATGTGAGATATCGGATGATAAAATTCTGTGTATCATGGTGTGTATACTCTGTATACTGTATTGTTGTACAATTTTGTAGTTTACAAATATAGATAGTTCCTATCTTTTCTCATTTATGCTGCATTACCTTTTGAACCATAGTACTGGTAACATGTGTGTATAAGACATGGTCATGATTTCCCCTTGAACATTCATGTATAACCACTGTACGAGACATTAATGTGTGGAGGAAGATGTTTAGAAAGCCTAACTCTAACATCTGCCCCTGCTTACACCCTCTGTGAATGTGTAACAGTCATTAATTGACCTGTGCCTTTTGTTCACTGTTTTGTTACAACAGTCTGACCTATACGTTCACTGTTCTTGTTTCCATTGGGCCTTTCATACATTGTACATGTCACAAGCTAAACGGGCAAAACACTAAGCAATAGCTTTAGCATAACACTTGAAACACACCAGATGGAGAGGACAGGAAAGCTTAGGTGATCACGCTTGATATTTGAGCTGGCCTGTTGAGTGTTAAAAAACACAGACCGAATCCGGAGCGGTAAAACACGTAAGCGACGGTAGTGTGACGAGCCCAGAGCAAGGTGTCCACTCGAGAGGAGTGGGTGCCTTGCGCTACGTTGAGCATTGCAGCCCCCCCGTTTATACACCCCAGATGCAGATGAGTGTAGCATGGGGCTCTGTCCCCCCAACTCCCTGTGCCAGAACTATATTGGGACGTACCGCTGCCAGTGCAGGAAAGGATTCGCCACAAACTTTGCCGCCAAACTCTGCGAGGGTAAGAGCTGCAAGGTAGTCATCAACAGATATATACTCTGTAGAAACTAACTGGGACAGAAATTTCTAACAGACTACTGTATACTAGTCAAGCATTCCTTTCCTGGTGTCCAGAAATCTTTAGAAAGTTAGGTAATGATCTGGAACAACGATGATTGTTCTCCACAACTTAAAGAAAATACTTACTTTGTCTAGTAGTAGCATTTAGATTTTCCTACCTATATGCCCCATAACATTTTCTTCTGAGCAAGTAACATTTGGAAAGTGATCTGCTAAAGGTCATCATAGGTATACATTTGTACAAACTGACCTTTTTGACTTGATAACCTTTAATTTGTTTAGTCTTCAGTGGAGGTTGTGTGAAACAACTGATTAGCTTAGGTCACAACAAGAATGCTCTTGAAGATACATGTACATATACTCTTGAATTCCAAGTGCCCAGCAGTAATACAGTTTGCTAGATCCAAAGCTCTAATGTCTAAAAGGACAGGATTGTTTGGAAGAGGAGACAGATACAGACTAACCATTTCAATGTTAGAAATGCAACTGTAGATGACAATATCTAGCTTTGTGGTCATAATGGGCTGGCAAGTTGCAGTTTAACTCATAACCAAAGCATAAGACACCTCACTAGAAGGAAGGGAGCAGAAAATCATGTACATGTAAGTTTGATTTTTCTGTGTGTTCTAGTCTCTGGCAGAGCAGATACTGTTTTGCTTGTGTTGTGCATAACAGTACAACTATACACAAACTGTGATGAGGTGGACTTGAGTTGGAAGATATTTTCCCTACTTTGGGAAAAAAATTCTTCCTGATTGACTTCTGTTGCCTCAAGACTGTTCAAATGCAGGAATCGTTGCTGAGCCGAGCTTGCAGACCATATGCCCTTAGGCTACATGTGCACCTGTTCTAACACTTCATGTCCACATTTCTGGTTTTACCACTCACAAAAGTCCTCTAACCTGTTTGCTTACCTGTTAGTGCCAGTGGTCTAACAAATTAAATGTATTTACAATCTCATGTACTGTGTGGTGCCACATTTTCCTTCCGAGTTCTGACACATGCTTGAGTTTTAATGTACCGTGAATTACTTTGCTTTGCAGCTTCGACAATGCCTGAAGCTATTTCTCACTACAGTCTGATTATCGATTCTAAGGCCACACCAATTTAATTTTTTGGTTCTCGGATTCCCCTCTTCATATTTCTCATTAAAGAAAAAAAGATTTTGGTTCGGAATCGACTCAAAAATGCTCATATTTTGCCCTCAACAGTTGAGGAAAGTCCTTTTCTTCTTCTTGATACAGTTTTTCCATTTATCAATGCAGTGGTTTGATTTAAAGTTCAAAATTCATTGTTTAGATATTAACCCAGCATTTTGTGTTGACATCATGCTCATTTCATAGCATTTTGGGCTATAATAGGATGCCTAGGCCTGTTTCAATTTTTTATTTGTTCTTCCTGTCACTTCATATTTTTTCTGAAAAAAATCTAAGAACCAACAAGTTAAACTGGTTTGGCCTTATGGTATATATTATGTATATGGCATTTGTTCAGTCCTTGTTGTTTTGTGTGCTGTTGCAGATATTGATGAGTGTATACGGTTCGGTGGGCGAGTGTGTGCACAGAACTGCATCAACACGGAGGGGTCGTATACGTGCGAGTGTCGCGAGGGATTCGAACTGGCAGCGGATAGCAGAAATTGCAGAGGTAGGCTGATGGACAAAACACACATAACCGCTCAGTAACGTGGAACAATCATATATGGTAATTTGGTTGTCAGTATCTGGTGTAGTTATGCAAGGTAAATGGAAAGTTGTTTCATTGTATGGAAATCTGTTCTAGTCGGCACCCATCATTTTATGGAATTTTGGCACTCATGACAGACAAAAATGTTGTTACCCAGTCTGTCATCCTTCACAGATACAGACAGGCCTCCCCCGAAATTCAAGCTGAAACCCTAGTGTAATATTTCACTAAAAGGGATGTCATTAAAGTAAGATTTTGATAGAGAGTAAATAGACTCTTTTTACACAATCAAGTCTTTTATTCAGCCGACATTTTGGTGACCGTCCGTCACCTTCCTCAGGGCAATTCTGACTGGTTCACATTGCACAGCACATGTGTCACTGCTACAGATGCATTCCCAAACGTACAATATTTACATATCTACACATTCGTGATTACAGGGAAATGTATCTACAATGCAGTCCCAAACGTACAGTAGTTGGATATATACATAATTGTGGTCAGCTGAATAAAAAATATGGTTGTGTAAAAAGAGTCTCTTTACTCAGTGACCAACCTGATGAAACTATATATGACATGGATAAGATTTTGATAACTATGATAACTAATACTTCGTTGGTTGTTGTTTGTAGATTTGAACGAGTGCGACAACAACCCGTGTGAGCAGCGGTGCATCAACGTGTATGGGTCGTTCCAGTGCTCCTGTAACCGTGGTTACCGGGTCGCGAGCGACGGCAGAACTTGCGAGGACGTGGACGAGTGCGCCCTGTACAGCGGGCAGGGTCAGGGGTCGCTGTGCATGCACGAGTGTGTGAACATCCGCGGCTCGTACACATGTAGGTGTCCACCTGGGTATGAGCTCTTACAGGACGACCGCTCCTGCGCTGGTAAGTAGAAACTGAACTCATGTACAAGGAGAAACTGTTACAGTAAGGCTACACCAATTCAATTGAGATGGGGTTTTGTGCGCGTGAAAAATTTGCGCGTGAAAAACTTGCGCGTGAAGAATCTGCGCGTGAAGATATGCAAATTAGCTGACTCCCAAGGGATTTGAAAACTTTTTGCTGTTTTAAGCTTAAAAGTTGGAAAAAAGACAAGAAAATAAAAATTTAACATCATTTTGCTTGCATTCTAGACTACATACCCTTGTTTTGTCCATTTTTTTGTGATTTCAGGTTATTTTGAAAGGTAAAGTTTTCACGCGCAAAAAAGGTTGAAATTTGCGCGTGAAAGAATTTGTTTAAGAAAGCATGAAATCAAACTTCTAGAATGGAGAAAAGCTTCAGATTGTTACATTTTACCATCCTAAACCTCATACTAGTAACTTTTCCATGTATTTCTTACAAATTCAATTGATTTTCAAAAGGTCAGGTTTTATGGAAATTATGGAAATTAGCTTATTCCCAAGGGACCAACATTTTCAAACAAAAATTTAGGCTAACAGAGGGAAAATTATACCAGAGGACAACATTTTCCTGCCTAAGAATTTGGTACTGCTTATTTTCTAACATATTTCTAAGACTTTTATTTTTCACGCGCAAATTTTTCACGCGCAAGTTTTTCACGCGCAAATTCTTCACGCGCAGAAAACCCGTTCCCATTCAATTTGTTGGTTCTTCGACTTTTTTTTTTTAGAAAAACTGTGAAGCGACTGGGGAAAAAAACAGAAAAAAACAGAAATGCTATGATTGGAACCACTCATGACGGACATAAATTTGGCCCAATCCTACATCTTTGACGGACAAAAATCACCATTTAACGGTAAGAAAAATTAAGTCTACTGGCAAAGTTTACCCCTCATAACGCAGGAAATGGTATTTCAGAGGGTCAAGACGTCAAATTTTTCATGAGGAAACATGCCCCTGGACACCCCTAGGATTGTTCCTAGAGTATGGGATTAACTGCACAAATAAATTTTCCTGTCAACCCATCCTTTACATTATTAAAGTACCTGTACCTGTAGCAAGGTTAAAAGCCGAAGTTTGATGTCCTGTCATTGCAGACATAAAGGAGTGTGATACAGGTGCACACAACTGTACAGAGCAGCAGGAGTGCTTCAACATCCGGGGGGGATATCGCTGCCACGATGTCACCTGTCCAGACAACTACGTAAAGACCACACCCACGTAAGTTCCTCTTATGTGTGCATGTCCTGTAAAAAAAGTTGGTAAGAATTTATGCTATTAAATAAATGCAGGGTGGATGAAACGCAACACATTGTTGTTTTCTCATCAATAAGTTGGTATTTATCCTAATATATTAAGTGTTTATACAGTTTATCTCAATTTGTTTTTCATTGTATGTTAGGCTCATGAACACTCTTACTATTTTTTTCTTGCAAGATGTAAGCAAGGGGCCACAGTTAGGCAGGCAGTTAACTTATATTAAAAATCAAATAGTTCAAGAAATCAGAATCAATGAGTAAAACAGCAAGGAAGAAGACAGCATAATTTGTGTAGGCATTACTACAGTGACTGTCATATTTATAATCATGGTAAACTTTAAGATAAAGATTGAACCTGTGTTCTCAACTTTAATCTGACTAGTGGCTCACACATGTATGTCTGGTAGATAAGCATGCTTGAAACCTACCGGTATAGCTAATTACATTAAATAACATCGTCTCTATACAAAGGATGTACAAATATACTATATCATACATGTAGCTCTACGCCCATGTCCACTGTTTACAACTGGCCTATCAGTAAGATAAGTACATTGTAGTTTGGGAACAATGTGACCAGTGACCAGACAGAGGCAGCCATCGTTTTGGTTTATTTTACTGTTACAGTACTAGTAACTATGTTAAACCCATCTACACAATATGTACATGTACATCCACTCAGTACAGGCAAGGCTAGTAGAATGCTATGTACACATATGATCTGCTGTAGCTGTCATCAGGCATTGTCATCACAACAATGGACAACCAAAAGCTGTCATTAGGCACAATTAAATAGTGTTGTAGTTCAGTCATCATAGGTCTGCATGATAGGTCTGCACAGCCAGAATAGATCACTGCAGGTACAAAATGTACATTGTAGATCAAGGTACATGTAGCTGTAGGTCTTTTGTCAAAATGTCTACATGTAAATTGTTTATACTATAAGTATATGGTACAGAAAAGTGTACTATATTTTTTACTTCAATATTTGACCTGGTCAGCAGTTGTCCGACCAGATGACAGTGGACCACCTGAAATATTATAAGCACATTATTTTTTGATGGGTTATTTTTACCCAAAATCTATTTGTCAATATTAAGCTGTCCACAAATTTAAAGAAAATCTACAACAGTTCTGTGTGCAAAATCTTACCAAATATGAAAAGATTTTCTGACATTTTGTTTTTCTTTAGCACCATAGATACTATGTTCAACCAGAATAGTGTAGTGACACTTGCCAAGTTGTATTCTAGCATCATCACAGTTATCTGGCAGCCATCTTGTTCACAGAGATGCATATTAGCTTACGATAGACACAACCACCTTGTCCATATAGCTTATGTTTTGTCGCATGTTTCATTGGACATGTGTATTTTCTACATGTGTAGGTTGGCACGTCACCTGCATGTTTCATGCACTCACGTAGCTTTCCTTGTCTGCTCCCCCCGTAGCCGATGTGAGCATAACCCATGTCCGTATGACGACGAGGCATGCAAAGCCGAGCCGACCTCCATCAGTTTCAACTACCTAACCTTCCCCAGCGGCATTCGCACGCCCGCGAACCTCTTCAAAATGAGCGCCGCTCTACGCTACCCGCAGGACAGATTTGAGTTTACGCTGGCCGGGAACGAGCGGGAGTATTTCACGCTGGTTCAGGAGGACAGATACAGCGCCATCGTGAAGATGGAGACACCGCTTCTCGGGCCGGCGGAACACGAGCTGGAACTGGAGATGAAAATGTTCCGGGAGGCAGAGGTCCGCGCTCGCAACGTGGCACGGATCTTCATCTACGTCACCAAATACACCTTCTAGTGACAGGCTACAGTCATGTATATGAGATTAGCTTCATCCAATATATGTGCCAACACAATACATTTCATACTTTAACTAATTTTAAAAGTTTCATGAGATAAAATGGACACTGGCTTGCAAATGCATGGCCCTTGCATCACACTAGCCATTTTTTTGTTTAGAAATATTTTACATGTAATTATGTATGATTGTTATATGATCGTGAAGCCCATACAAAAACACATTATGATTGAAATTTGGGCCTGCATATATAGGTACATGTATGTGTCTTCCCAGATGTAGTTATGTGTTTTGATCAAAGTGCTTGACAATTAAGCACTCCTGGAAGATGAAAGTTTAGGATGAAGCCTTATAATATTTAGAAAGATAATATTTAGGAAGGGATCAGTCCCCTTTGAAATACCCAATGAGTTGGTTGGAGAAAAGGACATACAGTTTCTGTTATTGTTATTTCTAGGCACATGTAGCTATTACAGGCTTTATATTAATTGGAACAGAAGGGAATTCAAAGTTTGAAAGGGTGCTAAAAAGATCTTTTATTTTACTATTATTAAGTATTTTTTTTTTGTTAGCCAACATAAACTGTAACATCTGTCCTGCTGTACCATTCCATCCCCACAAAAGCTAATATCTGGCATAAATGGAAGGGTAAAGGCACATTTGGTCATTTTATAGAAGTCCATAGTGTCAACCTTGACAATGTCATTGGGAAATAATTTTTCTATATTAAGGTATATGTTATGTATAGAAAAAAAAGTTTGTTTTTGTTTATTGTGTCCACAAAACAAAGTTTATGGCATATGCCAGTTTTTGTGAGATTGAAACATTCCTTTGTTAAATTTTCCAGTATTGGGCAGCTTCTCATAAAGTGTGAATCAAAGTACTTAGATTTGATGAAGCAAATTTAAACTGTATTTTCCAACACAAGGGATTGGACTTGCTGAAATTTTTTACTGTACAACTCCAACTTGTCGAGGAATAAGAAGTGAGCAGTGGATCATAATTATGTTGCAGATTTCACTCTGCTTTACTTAATTTTACTCTGCTTATTTCTGATTCGATCAAGCTAAATTATCAGGAAGATGTAACATTGAAAATTTAATTCTTATAACTTTACTCCAGACGCTGTTATCTCTTTCGTGCCTATCAGAAATGGAGGATTTGCGTGTGGTAGAGAGGGAGAGAGAGTTTTGGGTTCAAAGATCCAAATTAAAGTTTCATTTTGCTGCTTTCCAGACTTTTAGTTTGAATTGCTGTCATCACGCTGTTATGTTAAAGATAATATTACTTTCTGAAAATTTTTGAATATTGTTGTTCTTTGAATTGTATTGTTCCTTTCCATATTATTAACTTTTTATACTTAATGTTGCATATTACTCCCTAGATTTGATAAGCCATATATAATGTTGTCCAGAAGAGCCCCCCCCCCCAAAAAAATGCATTTTTTGTACTAAGAATAGAAATGTACCACAGCTTGCAGTCTGTTCATCTATCTGATATCTACATGTACCTTGAGGCTTAAAGCATTAAAGATCACTTTCAGGAAATCATCCTTTAAAAGCTGTTGACTCTGTGCTGTTACAAGAGTTTTATCCAACCATACTTTTTAGTTTAAAACTTTGAATATGATACCATTTCTTGCTAAGGGATCCAGCTTTTTCTACTTTTATTATTGTTGGTTCCCAGACTTTGCAAAAAGTAGAGAAAAATTGTAACTTATTTCCTAGGGAATTACTTACAAGCCAAAGTTTATCAGTTTGTACATTTTTTTATAAGGAAGAAAGCCAGATAAGGTGAGTAGCAGCTGTACATGTTTCTATAATCATTATAGCTCATACTTTATTAAAAAGAACTAACAGTAGCAGTGACAACATTGTTACATTGTCCATTATAGTGTCTTGTGCCTGCTTATAAAGTTGTACAACCTTTCTGATAGTAACTGAAGAAAAGGTTCAAATAATGAAGTTTACTTTTGGAAAAAGATTCCTGTTAAATTTAAGTAGTAACACCCGATTGTTCTCAACTAGAGCTACGACCAGTCACTCTGGTCTGAAGTGTGACGTCATCACTTGGTCAAAGGTATCTGGTAAAGGATGACCCAGTCTTGACGTCACACTTAAGAGAAGCCATGTAACAAGTCTTATTGGGTCACTCTATTGAAGAAGACCAGAGTGACTGGTCGAAAGCTCTAGGACTAGGAGAGAACAATTTTTTGTTTTGGAAGAAAATTTGAACTTTCAACACCTCACTGATACGTTGTATGACTGTATTGTCCAGTGGGAGTTCATCGGATGAGCAGAGGTGTGTGAAGGGACCGTGTAAGGTGTTGGACATCGACTGTATCATGGAGCGGACAACAGCCATCTCCTACAACTACCTGGACCTGCCCTCCGACCTGGTCACACCTGTGGACCTCATCAGTATGAAGGCACAGGTAAGGACATACCAGTTTACTTTTTTGATTCTCGGATTGTATATTTATGGCTCTGGAACCCTGGTACTACATCCCAATGATCTAAACTTTGCTACAGGTGAACATGTATATGCCCACAGAAAGTCATTAAAATTTTTGACATACACCTCTGTACTACAACTACATGGGGGTTTCAGGGAACACTGAAATTACTGTAGGGAGGAAGAAGAAATATCAAATCACTGTCCCCACAGAGGGGAAAACTACATCCTTTATTCCTTGTTCTTTGTTTTAAACTAGTATCAGCACTTTCTTAAATGGGAAAGCATGTTTTGACATGACATATAAAATAAGTAACTGCTCTGGTAAGTAGTAGTTCTTCAACGTGTAATGTCCTCTGTTATGTTGGGTGTACATGTATCTTGAATCTGTTGTTCCCTCCAGGTTTACGGTTATATCCCCAGGTTGCGGTTTCGCATCACTGAGGGAAACCAAGGTGGCTGGTTCAATGTCACGAAGAGAGGGTTAGCAGGTGGGTATGGTCGGTGTTTTAGTTTAGCATGTCGGCAGAATGTACTGTGCCAGCACAAAACCCGGAGTTTTCTTTGGATGTATGGTCAACATTGCATCAGAATTTTGCATGATGCAAATAGTATCTTTTTCAATACAACATTTGAAAATTGTAGATGGGATGTCATATTTCATATTTACACCGGTACCCATATTCAGTTTCATATTTACACCAATTGGAAGCATGGTGTTGCCTAGCCTCCAATGGTCCAGTCTATTGTAGTTGGGACGGGCTCTCTTCAGGGCTCTGGTAGTTTTTCCACACCCAGCTCAACTGGCCACCCGGTGGGAGTGGCAGTGCCTGTAGGAGTTTCTATAAGAATTACAGCAGGAGTTGATTACAACTCCCGGTGCAAAACCTACCAGGAAACCTAGCTGAGTCAGGCAGCAAAGAGCTCATGCTGCCCCGCCGAAGAAAACCCGCCCCAACCACGATATGACGTCTGGACGCCAGGCTAGGTGTTGCCCATTTTTCACCCCATTCCATTCCAACCGTGCACTCTCATGCTCCATTTTCTCAGATGGCGGTGCTCTTACAGGCACGGTAATGCTGGTGCGTCCGCTCATGGGACCCTTCACCACCACACTCCGTCTGGACATGGACCGGCTCAACAACGCTAACCTGGTGGTCGGGCGCAGCATCGCCTACATCACTGTGTACGTCTCCAAGTACAAGTTTTAAACTGACACCTGTGACCAAAAGGATCGTGTTTGTACAGCTACTGCAAAAAAAAATGTTAAAGACACCCAAAATTATTTCAGTGCAGTAAAATTTATAGAATATAAGGTAGAGGGGCTTACAAATTATTAGAAACGTGCATGAGGTTTAGATTTTTTTATTAAAAACTAGTATTTGTTTGGTCATACTGGATGTTAAAGCAGATGTAGCAAGGAGGTCTTTTGAATTTTTTAAACATTACTCTAACTGCCTTGAAATTTTAGTTTATTTAGATGCTAAACTTTGTTCCCGTTCACCAGTATATAGTACTACATGAGTTAGAACTGGCATGCTTGTGCTGTACAGATTAAGATATGAAGCATGTCAACGCCACAACCCGCATACTAGTATTCCTGTGAACAACTCATAATGATTTTACTTTCCTTGCAGTGATCTGCTATTACAAAGCTCTGACAATGATCCAATTTCGTCAAATGAAAGCTACTTGTACATTTTACATGATTTTTAAAAGGAAGTTAATGCCTTTGGGCTGTTAAGGCCCAGATTGTGGAAAAAAAAGATGCCCAAAGTTTCCAAATTAGCTTCCGTTTGATACAGTAGTAAAAAACACGGGAACAGTAAAATTTAATTCAGTAACGTATAAAGAATAGTATCTTAGGCCACACCAATTTAATTTCTTGGTTAACGGATTTCTCTGCAAAAATAATGGAGCGGGCGGGCGAAAAAAAAATAAAAATAAAAACAGGCCTTGGCATCCTATTATGGCCCAAAATGGTACGATAGGAGCCATGAAGTCAACACACCAGGCTGGGTCAAAATTTAAACAATGAATTTTGAACTTTTAATGATACCACTGCATTAAAAGATGGAATAACTGTAACAACTAGGAAGAAAAGGACTGTTTTCAACTGTTCAGGGCAAAATAAGAACATTTTGCAGTTTATTCTGAATTTTTATTTTTATTTGCAAATCCGAAAAAAATGAAGCGGCGAATCTGTTAACCAAGAAATTAAATTGGTGTGGCCTTATTGCATGCTTTGAGCGATACTTTTGAATGCGTTCACAGTCAAATCTGTAACGTTACTACTAACAGTTAAGAGTTTATAAAACAATCTGAAGTATCTGTGGTGGAGATTCTGACTTGTTCTATAGTTTCGCAAATTTGCTAGCGTATGTGTTAAATGACCACAGTACTCGTGAAAGTTATCAAAATTATATGCGAATAGTAGTGATGTGATGTAGGTTTCTTAGGCAAAATAGCAAGGAGGAACGACTATCGCTATAATTCAGAATAGATATCTCTTCCAACAGTAAGCCATGTAGAGTACTGACCAATATATTAGTAGTCACTGATAAAAGATAGCGGATCTACATGTATCTGAAATGCCTGAGAATTTTTCCAATTGCTTGATTTATTTTGTACTACAGGAATTTAAGCTATGAATTTGGATATGGCAGAAAATAAAAGTCTCTCACCAATGGCTGTTTTTTTGTGTATGGTGTGTTTTCTCATTACCAAGCCCAAAACTTCCATAGTCTTCTTGACGAAGACAATAAGCTCCTATAGAATGACTTCAGCCTTGACTTACCAGATCCTGAGAAGTCTTGACACTATGAGAACTATCATAACAGGTAAGTTTATGATCAGATATTGTCCTTGGTGCTGAACCGACTATCGTATACAACATATTACATTCCTTCCTGTACCTATATAAACAATGGTACATACACTTGTTACATATCATATGAAAGCTTATTGTACATAACTGATTAGTACAAACTGTATATGAATAAGTAGATAATGAAGGCAATTAATCATCTGCGACTGCATTTGGACCGTACTCCAGCCTTATCCACTCCTTGATGTAGAACTCCTGTGTGTGGTACAGCTCCATGCAGGGAGTGATGCACAAGGCAACCTCACACTGCTTACACTGGTACGTACTCTCATGGCCAGGCCTCTTCTTGGGTTCCAAACCGTGATCTAGGCGGTACTTCCTCTCAGCAGGACAGCAGACCTTACAGCTTCGGGACTTGGCCTTGCCTCCCTCGGCTGATGGAATCTTCTCCGGGAAATGCCGCTCTGTCAGGCGCAACAGACTGCTGGCATTCCTGTGTCCTGATGTGCTGATCAGCTCCTTAGCCACTTCCCTCTGAAAACAACAACAACTGATTAATTCAAGAGGTTATACTCCAAAGACTAGATAGTCCAAAGACTAGAAATGTAGGTCACCATACAAAATATCAAGCAGTATGCATATTAGAGATAATGATGAACAAAATTATTCTATTTTCTTCTCTAGTATTATACACAAGCTTTTGCATTATTTCCAAGCACAAGAGCTACCTACCATCTAATATTCATGAGCTACCATGTCCATATTGTGAGATATGAAGACCAGAATTCAGCTGCAGTACCAAGGGAAGCCACTAGGGGGCCCAAAATCTTATTTCTCAGAATGCTTAGAATATTCCATTCGTGGAATTCTTAGAATATTTTCAACTCAATCGCAGTACTATACCAACGGCTCCGCCCCTGAGGCGTCGCCAATAACTACCTCGTCAATTTGTCCAGTGAAAACATGGGGAGGCTTGGTCAGGCTGTTTCCATCCACCCTCTGCAAGTTCCTGTCATCAAGTGTTGTATCACTGTCAGTTGCAGCTTGGGGGGCGGCTCTGGGATTTGAATCCCCATCAGGAGGCTGGCTGCCACGTCGCCTGCCCGTGCCACGTCCCCTTGATGCTTGGCCGCGACCTCGGCCCCGACCTCTACCCCTAGCACGACCAAGGCCATTAGTAGCTCCACGGCAGATGTCACGTTCACCACTACTATCTGGTTCCGTGCGAGCTCGTTTCCTCCCCTGTCTGCCAACACGATCTTCTTGTTCTTCAGAATCCGTCTCACTTTCACTACTCTCAGTGGAATCGTCGCCTGAGATAGGGTATTCATCGCCCGAATCAACAGTACGAATCTCCTCCCACTCTTCTTCATCATCGAGGAAGAACATTCTCGACATTTTGGCGCTAACAGTCCAAATTCACAGCCCAAAATACGTAAACAAAAGAATAAAAGGCCTCAGCAGACGACATCCGCCATTTTGAGGCTCACTTTGACCTCTGACCTGCCCTCACTAACCACGCGCGTGAAAACATCTAAATTTAATTTTCAGTTCATCTTTTGTAACAGAAAAAACGGTGGAAAATTGGTTGAAGGAGCCTCAAACAGTCTATTGTGAGATCAGAACATTGTTAGGGAATGTTTGGGTAAAGTTAAATCATCTCTTTTTTCTACCTCCATGGTTAAATCCGATTGCCAAAATTTGGTCAGGAGAATACTTACACTTTTGGCGCCAAAATGATCAGCTGGATGCTGCACGTGTATTTTACCCACAGTGCATCGCGCTGTGGACCCGCCATTTCTGAAGAAGAAGAAGACAAGATGGCCTGGCGACTTGAGAGAAGAAATAACTCGCCGAAAATTCGTGCTTTGCACCGTGCAACGCCAAGTTCTGGAGGTGAAGACGATTTAACTTTGTTGTTTGTATGTCTGTGTCCAGTTTGGTCCGAGATATAACGCATTATAATTTTTTTGGCGTTATTGTGTAGAATACTGAGAGGAAGATTCTGGCCTCCGCATGTTGAAAATATTTCGGTGTCAGCCACGTCTTTGAAAATGCGCAAATTTTACTTGGCATTTGGCATCTGTCTATCCTACTCTAACGAGTAGTAGGTTGAAGAAACGACCGCTGTTCCCAGAAAGTTTGGTAAGACATTCTCATGCCGCTAAAAATAATAATAATAATTATTGATAACATAATTTGATAAGTTGTGTTGCCGGTTTTGTCCACGTGTGTGTTCCGGGGAGCTAAATTTCACCGCCACCTAGCCGTGGACGACTCTGTCACGCTTTTTGCATGATAATGCCGGCATTATCATGCAAAAAGGGTGACAGAGTCGTCCACGGCTAACCGCCACCCAAACTATGTACCACTATTTGTCGGCTTAAGCTTTCTAGTGATGATGCCCCAACTGTGCTTGGTGGCAACGAGTTCCAGTCAGTTCGAAGAGTTTTGAATTCTTAATTCTTGGTTGATAACTCTGATATTTGAAGGCATGACTGTTTCTTGTTCTTTTCTGGTCTGGTATCTCTCACTCAGTCCCCTCCAAGCCTAGTGGCGCATGGGGCTCCAGTAGCTTCCTCCATCTGGGACAATCAGCAGCCACCCTCACTGCCTCATCCATCGAGAATCCACATCTTCTCACTTCTTTCTCCATGGTCCTTCCCCATGTCTCTTTGGGACGACCTCTTGCTCTTCTGCCCTGTGGCGTCCACCTCAATGCCACTCTTGTCAAGTCAGTTGTTGGTTTGCAACAGATGTGGCCAAGCCATCTCCATCGATCTCACATCTCAAGCTCACACGACGTCTCGCTCACTGGTTTAAGGCCTGTCTTAAGGAGTAGATTCTTGTTCTATATGGTGTTAGGGAAAAAGATTTTGAGGATCCTTCGCAGACATTTGTTCTGGAATACGTTCAGTAGAACGCTCAGAACGTTACTTTTAAAGCTGTTAACTTTGGTTTTGGTATGTGTGTTCGTATTCCTCCATACTGGTTTGGTTAGCCTTGCTGACCTATTATCTACTTCCTTCGTACATTCTCCATCCGCAGTCATCTTGCTGCCTAAATAGGTGAACTCGATTACCTCTTCCAGTGGTTTACCATTTATCATGATGGGGTCACTGTTAAATTTGTTTTTCTAAGACACTTTTATCCTCATTCACATGTCTTTCCTCTGTGTGGCTGTTTCAGCCTCTCTGGCAAGCTTTTCTGTGTAATTTCTTTTATTCTTTCTAGCTGCCTTCTTTAATTCTTTTTCTTTGTACTGGTTTTTAACTTTCTCTTGAAGTCTTGGAGATTTAGAGCTCAAAAGTTGTTGATTTGCTTTCTTTCTTCTGTTAGTTGCCATGTGTTTGTGGGCAGCCAATGGGACTTGGCATGTTTCTTGTATCCTATAGTCTCTTTGGCCGCTTGCGACATGGTTTCATTGAAGTTGTGAATAGTCATTGCTTCATCGTCTTGGAGAACAGAGAAGCGGTTTTTCAGTGCAACATTGTTGAAGTTTTTCCTAGTATCCTGTAGTTTATCCACATCAAAGCGTCTTTCCCTGCTATTGCCAAATTTGGTTTTCCTTAGTTTGAGGCCAAGTTTTGCCACAGCCTTTTTTTTTTTAATTAGAAAATAACAAAAGAAGTGAACCATCCAACTTGACAATGTAAGTACAATAAACTAAAGTAACTCAAAATATACATATGGTATATAATATGAAATCATATCATAATATAATATGCAATCATAATAAATAATAATAATAAATAATATGATACAATGTAATATCACACTATACCATATAACAATATAATAAAGGGTTAATGCACCGCCCCGAGGTGTATATGGTGTCATAAATGCATGGTCAGCTGCTATAACCACCGAATAAACCACCGAGTGAGCGAAGCGAACGAGGTGGTTTATGAGGTGGTTATAGCAGCTGACCATGCATTTATGACACCATATACACCGAGGAAAAGGCGGTGCATTAACGTTATTATCATATAGCCTATCCAAACTGACACAATGAATCAACACAATTCCTGTTCAAAACATTAAACCTTTAATATTTACATAACAATACATTCCAAAATATTATAATCATGGTCTGTATCCAAGTCTCTTGCTGTCAGCCATTCTAAAATCATAATATTAAAAACAAAAGTCTTGTTTATTCATTTTCCACTACACCCACAGGATGTTGATAATAATACTGACTTCTCCGAGACTCCAGCTACCAATAACATATTGGCACACTTATCAACATTATATTCTAAATCAGAGAATTTGCTGTAAAATTCCAGTTCAGTACAGGGCTGTTATAAATTTGGCAGCCTGTCGATATTACAGTAACAATAACATTAGCAAAACAAATGTAATTCTATTCCTGCTAATCACTTGAAAAAAGAACACACCCACCTTTCAAAAGCTTCACTCCCCACTTGGTTGCCCTTTCAGTAGTTTTTTCAACTCGCCCCTCCTCTATCTCGCCAAGTTGTTGTTCGTTCAGACACGCGAAACGCACCCTGCTGACCTCTGTCTCCGGTGTAGCTTCCAGCGTCTGTTCCTCGACCTCCATGGGTCCAAATATCTCATCTAAATCCGCGTCTGTTATCTCTTCCATGTAGAAATTAGGCAAACTCTCCATGACACAAGAAGGCAAGATGGCGGACCAAAAAAATAAATCGTCTGATCCCTGGTCTGATTCAGTCAGGTGATGTGGGCGATACCACTTTTTGTAGGGGTGTCAAAATAAGTATGGTTTTTGCTCTCCCGTTCAAATTCTATCTATTTACATATACATTTCATACTCACACACATTTTAGTTTATATGAAGCTTAAAAAAAAACATAATTTTGTCTGACCAGGAAACTGCTATGAATATTAACAGAAAGAGCTGTGTACCCCTATATCATTATGGTTTCACCCATGGTTTATGGAGAATAACGCACGGCTGAGCCATGGTTTATCGGAGAATAAAGCACGGGTAACGGAGGCCTCTGATTGGTCTACGCCACCCGGCTATATGATAATATGATTTAAACACATAAAACCGCCCCATTTCCACATTGCCACAACCTTTAACCAGTTTGTGAATAATACTTTCATTTCTTCAAATTTTCGGACAAAAATTTGTATACACGTGGAAGTCATATATATAATCAACATGGTGTAATTGATCACGAAATTAATGCCCACTGATTTTGAATTTTGCTTTAGTTTCAAACACAAAAAGTACACATCTTTCAGGCTTAACCGTAACAGGGTGAATCTAAAAAAACAAACTAAAATATTTCAATCATTGAACATGATGATATCCACTTCCAGGCTGAGAATGCTAATCTTTGTTCTAATTTTACGTTTGATTTACCTAAATTCATTGATTTTGTCTTGTCAAATAAGGCCATGGTGATTTGAATCATTACATGTATATGGATGACATCCTCTGGAAACCCCAAAACTGATGCGAGTGTACGAATAAAAGAAAGTTTGGCAAAAAAAGGTTGTTTTTATTATGAAATCTGTGTGGTGAAGAAGGTGGAACAAATGACACAGTATGGTATGGTGAATAATCTACTCTTCAAATTCATTTCTTTACATTTTCATCTTTCGTTTAATTTTGGCATTATACAACATTGGTATCATTTTCCAATATTTTTTGTGCAACTTACAGTATATATTTGCTCATTTTGCAACTGTTTTGTACGATTTACAGTATGGTTGAAAACTTTTTTTTGTGGAAATGGCCTAAAATTAATGCACGTGCAGATGTCATCCATATACATGTGTAATCAAATCAACATGGCCTAAGCCAGTGTTTTATGCCAAAGGGCAGTTATACCCGTAACCGATACAGATAAAGTACATTGTATAGGTGAACCACAATCAAGATTATTTATATGTATATCAACATAATTTATGAAAACAGAGGGTATCCCACAAAGATTTTATTGGAATAATAGATAATGAGTGATGCACATAATACATTGTTACAATATAATATAATCATTCAGTACATTTTGCCTGTGATGGAGTGGATTTCAGGGAAAATACTTTGGTCATGTAATGATTTTTGGAAATATGTGCTGTTTCGTTACATCAAAAAATGGAAAAGGCAATGTTGTGCTTTCTTTCTGTAGAGTGTACTACAGGTACAAGCTGTGTGTGATGTTTGAAAGGTAGGAATCAGCGAAACAAAAATATGTCTAGCCTTTTCGCAAGGATTATATACTCAGAAGTTGCTTCCTAATTTAGCTGTTCAGTCAAGTCACAGTGAGAGGTCCAGTGACCAGCAGGTACGGCCTTGACAGTGGGCCAGGATCTCTTTCCTGGTCCCAGTGGTCTCTGCAAAAGATCAACACAAGGATCATATAATACACTCAAGTGACTAATATATAAGTTATTATTAATTAAAAGTCGTCATTTCGCAGGTAGACAGGCTGTTGTAGGCCTGTTTTATATACAATGTTTTTTTACAACAGTGGGAATGCAGTGTAAAGAATTCCAGACAG